CTGTGAAAATTAGATTTTCTTTTATTAAAAAATTCATAATAATAAATAGGTTAATTTGAATTTTATTACGAAGATTTTGGAGTTTTATAGAGTTTATATATATATATATATATATATATATATATATATATATATTTAAAAACTCTTTTCATACCAATTAATAAATATTTTTTTATATAACTTCATAAATACTGAAATACTGAAACTCTTTACACATTTAATAAATATTTTAAAAATAAATAAATAAATATTGAAACTTTATATTCACTTTTATTAAAAAAAATTGCTAAAAATAAATAGATAAATAGGTTAATTTTAATTTTATTAGGCAGATTTTAGACTTTTATAGAGTATTTTTTTCTTCTATTTATTTTTTTATATATAAAAATGCTTTTCATATCAATTAATAAATACTTTTTATATAAATAAATAAATACTGAAATACTGAAACTTTTTGCACATTTAATATTTTATTTTCTTTAAATATATCCTTGTCTAATTAGATTTAATTTTATTAAGAAACTCATAATAAAAGTTAATTTGTGGTATTTTAGAAAAAATATTTTATTTTATATATCAATTAAAAAATATTTTTTATATTAATAATTCTTGTCTAATTATATTTTCTTTTATTAAAAAATTTATAATAATAAAAAGATAAATAGGTTAATTTAAATTTTATTACATAGATTTTGGAGTTTGATAGAGTTTTTTTTTTTTTTTTTTTTTAGAAAAACACTTTTCATATCAATTAATAAATATATTTTAATATAAATAGATACTTAAATACTGAAACTCTTTGAATATTTAACAGTAGTACAGATAAAAACTATTTTTATATCAATTAATAAATATTTTTTATTTAAATAAATAAATCCTGGAACACTTTGGTAGAGCTTCTGTATTTTACTCTGAAAATTAGATTTTCTTTTATTAAAAAATTGTAATATATAATACGTGTTAGAGTGTTATAGAAAATATTTTCAAAACTCTTTTTATATGAATTAATAAATATTTTCATATTTTAATAATTCCTATCTAATTAGATTAGCTTTTATTAAAAAAAAAAAAAAAAAAAAAAACTCATAATAAAAGGTAATTTGTGGTAGAATTTTAGAAAAATTTATTTTATTTTTTATATGAATTAAAAAAATATTTTTTATAATAATAATTTTTGTCTTGTTACATTTTATTTTATTAAAAACTTATAATAAATAAATAGGTAATTTGTGTTAGAGTTTAATATAAACTCTTTTAAAAACTTTTTTTCTATCAATTAATAAATATTTTTTATTTTAATAATTCTAGTCTAATTAGGTTTCCATTTATTAAAAAACTTATAATAAATAGATAAATAGATAATTTATGTTATAATTTATAGCATCTCTTTAAATATATCTTTGTTGATAGAGTTTTATTGAAAATAAAATAAGTAATTTGTAATAGAGTTTTATAGAAATTATTTTATTTTCTTTAAATATATCATTGTCTAATTAGATTTAATTTTATTAAGAAACTCATAATAAAAGCTAATTTGTGGTAGAGTTTTATAAAAATTATTTTATTTTATATATCAATTAATAAATATTTTTTATATTAATAATTTTTGTCTAATTAGATTTTCTTTTATTAAAAAATTCACAATAATAAATAGATAAATAGGTTAATTTAAATTTTATTATGTAGATTTTATATCAATTAATAAATAAATACCGAAACTCTTTGCACAAAGGCCAAGAAAGTAGTACTACACTTGATCTTAGCCAAAAGACCAAGAAAAGTTAGCCAAAAGGCCGACTCAAAAAAGTTTAATACTACACTTGATGTTAACCAAAATGCCGAGAATGTGTAATTATTATATCTTTAACTCTATAGTTTTATAAGAGGCTTTTATGTAATTTTTTTTACTTAAAACCAATGTGGGACTTTGTAATTTGAATTAAACTCTTTTTATATTTTGTTAATTTGAATTAATTTTAATTTTATTAGGCAATTTAAATACTGAAATACTATTCTATATATCGTGGGATATAATAATTAATGAGAGCTCTTTATTGTGAATTAAACTCTTTTTATATTTTGTTAATTTGAATTAATTTGAATTTTATTAGGTAATTTTGAGTTTTATAAAATTTATATCAATTAATAAATAAGTATTGAAACTCTTTTCACAAAGGTCAAGAAAGTGGTACTACACTTGATCTTAGCCAAAAGATCGAGAATGTGTGATTATTATTTCTTTAGCTCTATAGTTTTATAAGATACTTTCAAGTAATCCTTTTTACTTAAAACAACTGTGGGACTTTTTAATTTGAATTAAACTATTTTTATATTTTGTTAATTTGAGTTAATTTTAATTTTATTAGGTAATTTTAAGTTTTATGGAATTTATATCAATTAATAAATAAATACTGAAATACTGAACTTGATCTTAGTCAAAAGACCAAGAAAGGTTAGCCAAAAGGCCGACCCAATAATTTTCATCAAAGAGAAGTTCTATTTAAATAATAATAACTACAGGATTCTAGTTGTGTGGCAAATGGATTGAAAACATAATTCAAGTAAATTGTTTTCTTGTATGTACATATCAAATATGGTGAACTTTTTGTCCATAGATTTCTCCCAAAGATCTTAGTTAGTTAACTGCGTTAGGTACAAGGCTACGCCATATATAACAGAACAATATTTTAAACAAAATATCTACTTTTACAGATTTTATTCCAACGATCCTGAGAAAATTGTAGGCTTCAATTATTGGAGTCTAGTTTTTGTTTGCCTGAATTATTGGAGTCTAGTTTTTATTGAGATATTTGAAAGAAATACAATCTTATAGTTGTCTCTTCTTCACCAATGAGCATCTTTTAACAAGGGTACACTTGATCTTAGCCAAAAGGTCGAGAAGGTATGAATATTATTTCTTTAGCTCTATAATTTTATAAGAGACTTTCATGTAATCTTTTTTTACTTTAAACCAATGTGGGACTTTGTAATTTGAATTAAACTCTTTTTATATTTTGTTAATTTGAATTAATTTTTAATTTTATTAGGTAATTTAAATACTGAAACACTATTATATATATCGTGGGATATAATAATTAATGAGAGTTCTTTATTGTGAATTAAACCCTTTTTATATTTTTTTAATTTGAATTAATTTGAATTTTATTAGGGAGTTTTATATAATTTATATCTTAGCCAAAAGGCTGACCCAAAAAAATTTAGTACTACACTTGATCTTAGCCAAAAGGCCGAAAGGGTGTGATTATTATTTCTTTAACTATATAGTACTGAACTTGATCTTAGCCAAAAGACCGAGAAAGGTTAGCCGAAAGGTCGACCCAAAAAAATTTAGTATTACACTTGATCTTAGCCAAAAGACCGAGAAGGTGTGAATATTATTTCTTTAGTTCTATAGTTTTATAAGAGGCTTTCATGTAATCTTTTTTACTTTAAATCAATGTGGGACTTTGTAATTTGAATTAAACTCTTTTTATATTTTGTTAATTTGAATTAATTTTAATTTTATTAGGTAATTTTGAGTTTTATAGAATTTATATCAATTAATAAATAAATACTGAAACACTTTGCACATTTAATAATTTCATGTAATCATTTTTACTTAAAACCAATGTGGGACTTTGTAATTTGAATTAAACTATTTTTATATTTTGTTAATTTGAGTTAATTTTAATTTTATTAGGTAATTTTGAGTTTTATAGAATTTATATCAATTAATAAATAAATACTGAAATGCTGAACTTGATCTTAGCCAAAAGACCAAGAAAGGTTAGCCAAAAAGCCGACCCAAAAAAATTTAGTATTACACTTGATCTTAGCCAAAAGGCCGAGAAGGTGTGAATATTATTTATTTAGCTCTATAGTTTTATAAAAGGCTTTCATGTAATCTTTTTTACTTTAAATCCATGTGGGACTTTGTAATTTGAATTAAGCTCTTTTTATATTTTGTTAATTTGAATAATTTTAATTCTATTAGTAAATTTTGAGTTTTATAGAATTTATATTAATTAATAAATAAATACTAAAATACTGAAACACTGAAACACTTTGCACATTTAATAATAGTATAGATATAGATATAGATATATGGTAGGAATGGTGATCGAGGATGGCCAAATTCAGTGAAAGGCACGAGTGGGAGTGTATTGGCACGAGTGAGTGCGAGAGTTGGGCTGACCAAGGTTGGTTTTGTGGCGAGGAGGTACAACGTGGGCTGGTTTGGATGTTGGACAAAATTTAATGGATAAAGGTTTTAATATGTAGACCCTTAAACCCTGTAAGAGAGAGACCAAAACAAATCATACACAATCTTGGTGATTGGGACCTAAGCCATACAAACCTTGGAGGCCCAAAAAATTATCCATATAAATGGGCTTGAAAAACTCTGTTGGGTTCATTAAAGCTTGGTTAAAATGATACGTTTGCTATAACTGGACCCCCAATTGCAAATTCATTGAAGGGGTTCTTGGGCCTAATTATCATGGATTATTAACATAGTGGATGATTTTAGGGGTGTCATATTCATTTTTGACCCGCCAAATCATTTGTAATCCGATTAGACTAAACGGGTCCGGTAAGCATATTGTGTTTGTGTTTGGAATGATCCTGGAAATATAAAATTTTAATTAAATCGTGTTGATTCATGTCTTCTTAGGTCTTGACCTATTTATTTTTAGTTCCCATAATTTTTTTTCATAAAAATTTAATTAATAAGCTTCAAAAATAAATCAAAACCCTAATTTCAATTTTGGATTCAATAACTTGCACCCAAAGGCTTCAAGGAGCTTTCCATTATACTAAAGAGCACGTTCAAACGTTTTTCCCTTAAATGTTTACTTACGATGACATAGACATTAGAGGATCTTGGTTTCATCTTTTTGTACTATTAATGCTAAATAGCGAAAGTGATTATTTTGAATAATCTTCGAGCCAAGTTTTATTTAAAAATATCTACTAACACAATATTATCATCAAACATCATAGACAGTAAAACGATCATATGCTCATTTATATTGGTACAGTTATGACAAACTTACATTCCAACAAAATTAAACAAACACGTTATCTTTCAAATAAAGCTACAAAAGGATTAACTAAACATACAATAGAAATCATAGAACATTACAACAAAAACACATATGTTATGTTTGACAGCATCGAACGGCGCCTTAAATTTAGGATTGGAGAAATTTTAGTACAAATTTTGAACTAAACTTCTTCCAATCGCACCAATTCAGTACTCCCAAACATAATAATAAACCATTAGGCACGTAGCTAGAAAGTTGCATCTTCTGTTGGAAGAGGAAGATGAGTCCTGAAAATGAAGAAATTCTCATAGATAAACCCGGCAAGCCCACCACCAATGAGTGGCCCGACCCAGTAGACCCAGTGATCGGTCCAGTCTCCGCTCACCAAGGCCGGGCCGAACGACCTTGCAGGGTTCATTGAGGCCCCAGAGAAAGCCCCACCAGCCATGATGTTGGCCCCCACTACAAGACCGACTAAGAATGGACCCAGCCCATCAAGATTGCCCTTTTTGGGATCAACCATAGTAGCATAGACTGTGAACAACAATGAGAAGGTCAAAACAACCTCCATTATTACTCCTTGTAAATAGTCCACCCCACTTGCAAGTGTATGTACTGGAGTTGTCTGTGGAATTCATGATCACAAAATCATAATTAGAATCACGAAAAAGTTTTCTCAATTATGTAAAAAGAAAAAAGGAATAATAATTCTCTTAATTATGGAAAGAATTTAGAAGGGACCTGAGTCAAAAGTTGTAAATATTAACCAAACACTAACACGCTTAATATATGCATGTTTGACCAGAGAGCATTTAGCCTAAAAGTATAACCTTTTTATTTAGGGGAGGAATTCAAACCAGATGTGAATAAAAAGATATGTGTTTGTTTTACCATTCAGAATATATAAAAATCATTTTCACTATAGAAAGTACACAAAAAAAATAATAATAAATTCACTTTGATTGTTGGGAAAAAAAAAATAGAGGGTTAAGAGTCAGAACTTCAGAATATAAAAAGGGGTTTTACCAAACACAAGCACTCTTTAATACGAGTATTGGTACAGTTATATAATATTTTTCCAGACTAAAGATTTCAACTTTTAGCATGCATGCGCACATATATATATATATACACACACACACCTACACATATATCATATAAGTGTATGTCACGTCGGGAGGAGATGATTGGGACAGACTTTTTTTTTTTTTTTTTTTTTTTTTTTAAGGGATGATTTTACACAAAACTGACTACTCTCAAATTTATTACTATAAAGTTAATTAGGGATCCATTTTGTTGTGAGGGCCAGCACGTAATGGCTCTATGAGTGCATATACATAATATATATATATATAGACAATATAGAGAGAGAAAGTTGTGGAGGATAGGTCTGGGTGTCCCCAGATCTCAGAAGTACTTTAGGAGTGACAAGAAGTTCATTTGGCATATACTTATACGAACGTATCTTTTACAATAAAACTATCAAATCAGGCACTTTTATGGAGTCCACACACTTGCATGTGGACCATGCAATTGCTTGTTACAGAGTTGGGAAATTAGGTTAATCAAAGGATTAGATTCCAATGAAACCAGAATCGGTTTCAAATCTGATAAAATTTATTTATAATTTGATCCGATCATATATATAAATAATAATAAAAACATTTTAAAATATGGGTTTTAATTAAAATTTTAATCCATGTTAATGGGATCTACGTGAAAAGAAAGAGTCTTTTTTTTTTTTTTTTTAGAAACTTACCAACCCTCCAGTAAGGTAATGAAGTAGAGCACAAGCTGCAACAGAGGCTAAACACTGATCGATAAAGTAGAGAAGGGATCGGAAGACGGTGATACGACCGCCGGCACAGAGACCGAGCGTCACGGCAGGGTTAAGATGACCACCGGAGATGCGAAAGCCGGCCGATATCATCACTCCCACCACCAATGCATGTGCCATGGCCACAAAAAATAGGCTCACTAGTGAATCCCCACTTAGCTTATCTGTTTTTCCAATCAACAATTATATATATGTATATATATATATCCGTTGCACTATATATATATATATATATATATATATATATATATATAGTATATATATATATACTATATATATATAGTATGTATGTATATATGTAATGAATGAATTATGTACCGGCGCCCATGGCCGATCCAACACCGGCGAAGACGAATAGGAAGGTACAAATGAACTCCACAATAAGGGCTTGAATGCAGTCGATCTGCAAGACCTCTCGGCCTGTTCCCAAGGCGATTTTCGCCATTTCCAACTCTCACCTGAACAAAATGATCTAATAGATATGTGTGTAAGAGATGGTAAAGTCTCAAAAACTTGGTGAAAGGCCTAGTACATTTATGTTGGCGAAGTGAGAGTGATATATATATAGAGAGAGAGAGATCGAGGGGTTTATAGGTAATTAATTAAACATTGAACTGGAATGCACGTTGGCATCTTTTGTTACTGAAATTATTATAATGCTCAAATGACTAACATGCCCATTGACTTCTGTTCTAATTTTAAGTTTGCCATTTTGAATATATAAATAAATATTTTCCTACTCTTAATATTGCTGTTGACATTTTTCCCTTTTCTATTCACTGGAGATCTTGATTTGATCAATCAAGTATTGGTGTTAAAGACCTAAATCACATAAAGCGACAACGAAAACAAGAATGTTGTTAGAGTATCTGAATGAATATATATATATATATATATATATAATTTCATTTAATCCATTATCATTCTAATTTTATTAAATGCTTTTTTGATGAATTTTTTAATATAAGAATATTTAAGAATAATAAGATATTTATTTATAATTAATTTTATTAATTAGTTATATGAAGTGGTTATATTTTTTCATTGTATCATTTATAATTAAAGTAAAAGCTAGCCTAGTGGCCAACTGGCCAAGTAACCAAGACTCTTCCGGTCCAAAGGTGCAATTCCTCCCACGTGAGTATTGATTCCTCTTCTTGTCCTGCATCCTTTTTATGACTACTATAGACGAGTATTATTTGTAGTCCCTATAATCCAATGAAATATAAGTAAAAAAAAAAAAAAAAGTTACGTAAATACTCACACATATATTTCACAAATTGTTCGATACAAAACTTGAACTTCTCACAATCCTTTTGAGAAAAAAAAAATTATATCGATACGTTAATGCCCATTAATTAATTGCACAAGAGAGAACTGTGAGATCGATCAACCTACTTGTTGTTAGGTTAAAATCTCAATCCTCCTAGTGCACCAAAGAGGATGATGCATGAGTTATGGAAGACATGGAGTTGTCCAAAGGTTTCCCATTTCTATATATTTAATTATTTTTCTTTGGCATGTGGTGTTGCTGTGGTAATTTGACAGAATGGTAAAGGGTTGTGTGGTAATTTAACAAGACACATTGGCACTTCACAACCCACCACAACAAAAGCTGAGTTGCTAATTAACTTGCTATTGATTTAAGTAAATGTCATGGTCCAATGAGTGTGTTTTTGTGGGTGTGGCTTTTGGTGTTGTCTTCTTCATATATGTGATAATTAAACATGTAGACATGGTATACTTTCCTTTTTGTTGATAGCTTTATGTCCATTTGACATTTAACAAAGAATGGGCGATGCAAAAATCGAAAGTGACCCCTACGCTTTCATTGACTTGAACCCTAAAAGGCCTGATTCAAGATCGAACATTATTTACCCATCTTATTCACCACCTTATTTGGTGGTACTAGCCAGACTTTCATAATTACCACCACTAATACAAAGGAGACTGTGCATGTCCTCTTCTTATAGTACTGTTGCATGACAAATCAAAGTTGGTAGATTAACAACACTTTTACTCCGCAAGTGCCTTCATTCACTCAAAGTGTAAATATGAAATTCTTTTTCTTTGAATCTAAATTTGTTGTAAAAGAAATAAAATTTATTTTTTGAAATTTTTAAATATTTAATTATATTGCAATTTTGATGAGATAGAGAACAATACTTCTATATCACTCATGTATATATGTACGTGCTCTCAAAAGAAAAACAAAAAAGAAAATCATAATTGATTTTCTAAAAAATATCTCTCAAAAGACTTTCTCAAAATAATGAATTTTTGTTTCAAAAAGCCGTACCTTAATGTTAAATAAAAGATAGATTATATAAAAATTTAGAAGAACTTAAAATACTTAAAACAAGTCAATTTCATGCATAGGTTTTTGAAATGAAGTCTACCTAGGAATCAAAATAGACCAGGAAGGTAAGTTACCAAAATCGATCTGAAGACCTTGAACCGATTCAAGTTGGCCGGTGAGTTTTCGTGACAAAATAACTTTGAGACTTGAACCGGTTCAGGGTGGTTTGAACTGATTATAGTTGGTCAGACTTGAAAATCGATCACTAAAAAGTATCAAAAGTTGAACCTGTTCCAAAAAACCTGAACCAGTTCAAATTGGGCAGAATGTAAAGTCTTCTTAAACACTTAAGTTTAATCCTCCCAAGTGTACTCACACACGCTCTTACCTCTCTTAAATATTGTTCTCATCATCCCGTAGTTTATTAAAGCATGAACACTTTAACTTCTTCAAATCCGTTTCCGATCTTGAATCTTGAAATTTTAAACCGAAATTTTACAACTCGATCAGATTCATTCTGACAACAAAATTTATAATTACCAATTATAAAATAAATATGACACAATAACAACACGTCTTGAAGTCCAATTTATAAGAAACATACACATTATTCAGGATTCGTGGTTTATATCTTGAAGTCCAATTTATAAGAAACATACACATTATTCAGGATTCGTGGTTTATATATTACCTTAAGTCAATCAAAACACCCAATTTAAGAGCTAGTTTGATGTGGTGAAATGGAATAAAAGAAAGTGGAATGGAATGAGTTTTTTTCCATTCTCGTGTTTGGTGCGCAATTTTAAAGTTGGAATCATCATTCCCCACTATTCTTGGAGAATGACCATTCCATTAAAATCATTCCACCTTTAAACAAAAGGAATGACCATTCCATTCCCACTTTAAAAAAATACGGACTAAAAAAAATTAAAAAAATAAAGCGGAGTCCCCAACAAATTACAAACCCACATCAATCCAGTAAATACACCCACATCAATCCTGTAAATACACCGGTAACGAACAAGGAAGAAAGAAGCAAAGCCAGCTTTGACGAGCAAGAAGAGGGTTTGATCCAGTGATGAAGTGGACTGAAACGGCGACAACTATGAATGATCTGGACCAGTTTGCTGAAAGTTGTTAAAGAACGTTGCCGGAGAAGATGATCGAAAAATTGGTCAAGCAAGTGAGATCTACGCGCAGAACTTCAGGTGGCGCGTGTTAACACATGTAGCATTGTATGGGGCTGTTCTTTGCACCGTTGTGTTCGTCTTAATACATTGGACCTTCGTCTGTGATTTATTCCTATATGATCGGTGGTCTCAATTATAAACACCACCACTAGATACATAAAAACACCACCGCTAGATACAAATTCTCCGGCGGCGACGCCTCACCTCTGTTCAATCACCTACTTCTCTCCATCGCCTCTTCTTGCCCCTTTGTTTCTTTTTTCTCATCTATTTTCTCTCTTTATTATCTCTTCTCCATTTTATTTTTGCAGATGTTAATTTCTTTAGTTAATTTTTTTTACTAATAATAAAATATAATTTATAAAAATAATATAAATTCATTTCATTCCAAGTTTCTTACCAAATACAGAAATAAGAATAAGCATTTTATTTTTACACATTTTATATTTACAACCAAACGGTAAAATATGAATCATCATTTCAATTTCATTTCCACTTCCATTTCAATCCATTTGACCACACCAAACATGTTAGAAATCACTACTTCTAGAGGTATCTCAGTAATAACTTTAATCAACGTGCGATGTATTGCAGTGAACGACTGAGATTGTGTGATGTATTGAAATGGACGGCTGAGATCTATTCACACCTAAAATTATGACTGTGTGCTGAGATGTACGGTTCACCTCTCAAAGATGAAGTGAAGAATATTGATCAATGAATGATTTGTTTTTGTTTTTTTAAGAGAATGGGAAGAAACAAGATTGAATCTTCACCGTCCAATGCTAGATATCCAAATGCTGATGATGATGAGGTGGGTTCATGAATGACTTGGAGCTCCCATGTAGAGCCTGTGTAGCTTGGCATTATTATAGGCAAATGTAGCTGACACATTGCTTTGTCATCTAGTTCATAATGGCACAATATGTAATAGGTTTTCCTGGTCCTATGATTATGCTTCCATATTGCTGGAATCAACTTTTGTAAAGCCTTCCTTGCATTATTGCTTTTTTAATTATTGAAGACATGTTAGTGTCTGTCTGTGATACCTTCCTTAATCTTGACATATAATACAGGAGTATATATATATCTATATATTTTTATACTATATAGTGATACATTAACCGAGGCCCCATCCCATACACATGAATATGTGACGTGGTTTTTTTTATAAATTAATCAAAGAAGCAATATTATACAATACTGTTAAATTTGAAAATAGAATGATAATGAAAATGTCTTGCATTTCTCCATTTAACAATATTGTAATGCTGCATATTTAAATAATATGTTGAATGAATATTATATCTTCGAAATAAATATATTGTATTACATGGATTGATGGTAATGATCTGATCCAAGTTGATGATCACAAAATTTATTCAAAAAAAAAAAAAAAAAAGGTTAACGATCACAAAGTTCAAAACACAGGGAACTTCAATGAGGAAGGTTTTGAGAGTATTTTTACCAAAGCAAAAGATTTTATACAAAAAATAAAGAGAAAAAGAAGAGTTACATTTGGATTGAAGAATAAATATTGTTTAATTACCTTTGGTTTCAAGTTAACAAAAAAATATAAAAAATTACCTTTGGTTTCTGCAGCATTTCCCTATTTTATAATTACAAATGTGTATAGTCAATAAATTTATGGGCATTGGCACTGGCTGTCAAATAATAATTAAATTGTTTGTCATTATATAAATTATTAAAATCACATTCATAGTACCATGTTGGATCCAAGATTGCATGTTATATATAAAATTCTCAATGCTTACATGCTCAGCATTTAATAAAATTTATCCATACAAGAAAGTCAACAGTAAATAGATAGAAGCCCCTAATAATAGAAGTTTAAATATAGTTTTATGGTTGAACTGTTCAATGGCTTGTGATTTGGACATCAAAAATTATATATATATATATATATATATATATATATATATATATAATTTATTCAAAATATCACCTGCGATAAGAAATTTATACATGAATTAAATTTTCACCGTTGAATATAAAAACATAAACTATCTTTTTAATTGTCAACCAGAATTTAACGGTTAATACTTGAAATGTGCATAAAATATAGTAAGAGATGATGAGTAATGATAGAAAGTCTGACAGTTGGACAATATTATCATGATATTATGGATATATTATGATAATGTCAGTCCTCACTTACATAAATCAGTCGGACTTGTCTCACTCTCAAACTACAAATCATTATTCAAAGATAATTACCAATAATTTGGGCACGCGATAATTTTAAATTTAAATTGTCCAATAAAAATAGTAAATTTTTATCTCGTATATATAAATTCAAAATGAATACACATCACTCTATGATCGTGTCATTTAAATTCAAGAACAAATAATTGTATGACCACCTTTGGTTTCAATAGCATTCCCCATTTTACATTTAAACATCTGTATCTATGAAAAAAAAAAAAAAAAAGTTACAGCCCTTAGCATTATCAAATAATTAAATTGTTTCTCATTATAAAAATATTAAAAATCACATTGATTGTACTATATATATTGGATCTTGTATGTGTATTATAAAATTCTCAATACTTACTTTCTCCGCATAAGCATTTATTGGAATTGATCATACAACAAAGTCAACGATTGATACATATTAACCCCTTCATCCTTATGACACAAGTTTAAATACAGTTTTAATGTTTCAGCATATGGGTTGAAAAAAAAGCCTCCCCTCCATCAATAGCTTGTGATTTGGACATAAAAAATTATACATATAACTCATTCAATATATATATATATATGTATATACCTTGCAAACCCTTCTGCCCAAATTTTTATTATTTTTTTTAATGCAAGAATGTTATATTAGATATTAGAGATGCGAAAATTTGAAATCAGACTTTTAAAAATAACGGGAACAATCCAACCACTGAATTACGAATTCACAATTCACTCTCTTATTCAATACCATCACCACTACCAACAATAATAAATTACCAAAAAAAAAAAAAAAACAATTTGAACCAGTTATATAAAAAATGTGCAATAAATTCCTTTTCATGCAGTATCAACATATAATCTTTTAACATTTTAAAAATGTGTACAATTTGCTCACAACCATCAAGAGACCGTTAAAAAAAATCCATTTATAGTCAATTATGAGAAAAAAAAAAAAAAAAAAGAAGTTATATGAAAATTCAAAAATATCCTTTTAAAATAACTATATTGCCCCTCACAAACTCGCAATATAAGTGTAATAGAATGAAAAATGATTTTTAAACCGATCAAGTGATTTGTTTGACTGACAAGTTTTGATTGGTACAAAGATGACAATTAAAAGTTAGAGGTCAATCAATTCACTTTCATGCATCGGTCCAACTATTATTACTCGCGTTCAAGTTGGTCTTAAAAACGGGCTAGGCCATCTCATTTACAATCAAACAACATTAATGGGGCAGCCCATTGTCATCAATGGGCCTCTTGCAGTTCCTAAATAAGTCCATTAATCGCCCCCTCGATCTTTCGTCGCTGAGGATATCTATATGAACAGGTGGGAGACAAACAGAGTGGAGTTAGAGAGAGAGAGTGTGGGTCTCTAGAGAGAGAAAAATGGTGGGGGTTCTACATTCGGCGTCTTTGTCGACATTGTCACCGACTCTCCATATGTCCTCAGCTCGACCTTCTCGCTCATCATCTTTATCTCTCATCAGCCTCCCTTCTTCTTCTTGTTCTTGTTCTTGTCGACTCGCTGTTCCTCGCTCTTCTGCCTATAACCCTTCTAGAAGACTCGCTCTCTTCCATCTCAGCAGCGGTATGTATTCAATCCTAATTTTTATCTGCAGTAAAACCTAGAATTTGGCTATATATACAATATATATTATTGTGTATGTATATATATTTGTAGGATGTGAAATGGGCATTCGCTCATCTGTTTGGTTTCCTGGAAAACTGAGAGAAAATGTTGGACTTTTATATTTTGTGCTTGTTTTAATTTTGAAACAAACAAAATCTTAAAGCAAACTCGACCATATAAATTATATATGAAGTTGTTAAGCTGATTATTTGTAAAATAACGAAAAATTATATAATGCACACATCAAATACATTATATGTACATATATGCATTCATATATACATGAAGATGTATTACTTATTTGTTTTTTTTATTAGTATTTACACAAGCATGTATGCTCATGTATTTTTTAATTAGTATTTGCACAAGTATGTACTTTTTCCGATTAGTATACGCATACATATACGCACACACAGACCTACAGGGACAGATGTCATTGTTCTTGGTTGCTGTGAAAATATGGAAAAATAAAAAAAATAAATAGTAATATTGAAGTTTGGATTAGGACCAAAGGAAACAGTAATATTTTCCTTAATTGAGCTTACTACGATTCTGTAGCTTAGTTGAGAGAGTTTTCATTTATTTTCCCTTGTAATTAAAACAATGAAAATCGCGTATAATTGGGTTATTTTGTAAACTTTCTTTTTTTCTTGCTTTATCTACAACCGAGCAGAGGACATTTTTATGCTTTTGATGAGCATTCTCCTATAGTTAATCTTGTTGGCATAAATTTCTTCTCAGTTGAACCTTATACAATTTAAGGATATCAAATTGTCCAAACAAACTAAAATTGAGAACCAATAATAGAATACGAAATTGTTAATGACTTAATGTCGTGCCCCCACACAAATTTCATAGTAAATTTTCCATCAGTCTTCAAATTTGAGGCTTGAACTGTAAAAGTACCAAAATGGCAAACCAATATTGCACATACAGACTAATAAACTAAAATAATTATCCAATTATAAGGAAATATGACATCAAACACGATAATCAAATTACTGTCTTAACATAAATAGACCATAGCAATGTCCACTCTAAATCTTCCTACATCAATAGTTCACTACATAGCCCTCTCAACAAAAGAAATAAATCCTAAGAGTAAAAAATGACCATATTCAAGCTTCATCAACTTCCAAGCGGCTGCAACTGGCCATCGAAATTTGGCTCAAGTATTAACTGAAAGATGGTCAAAGGGGAGTTCACAAATCAGCAAGTTACATCGCTCAATAAGTGACACTCTTATTATATATCAAAACATAACTGTATAAATATAAGGATGCTACTAGAATTAGTATTATGAATAGACATGTATACTCTAACTATACTAACATAATCCAATTCTCAATCTATTTTCACAATCAATTTAATATTCTAGATTAACTACCTTCATTTACTTATACAATATTTTCTCTCGTTTATGGTTTCTATTCATCAATCCTTAAGTCTTATGACTTGGTATCATATACAAAATTACACCTCAACTTAATTTACTGAAATTTCAGTCGATCATTCAAGAATCTCATATTCAAGACCTTACACAGCTACCCCTTTTTGTATTTGTTCTTTCCAGTTTTAAGCTAAACATGTTTTTGGGCCACATATTCAATGTTGGATGAGAGTCTAAATTACTCGATTTTTTCCTTCACTTCTTTTACTGGATGGCAGGGTTTGGAAATACCTATGTACAGCCATATCACTCTATTCTTCTAAGAATACAATGACTTGATACGCATAAAAGCTTGAATTGATTTAGCAATCATTTATGGACTCTTATTTGTTATGCAGCTATCCCTCAGTCCCAGCTATTTGGTGTAAATGCATCCACGTTGTTAAGAGCAGAGGGGAACACGATAGAGGCCAGTTCAACTGCAGATATGGCACGACCAAGTACTGTTGTCACTGAGGAGAATTCTTTAGAGTGGGTCAAAAATGACCACAGAAGGATGCTCCATGTTGTTTATCGTGTTGGGGATTTAGATAAGACTATAAAGTACGTGTATTGGATATAACATTTACTGCTTGCTACACTAAGCTGCTGCTTTATATTCTTACTTAAAGGAAACACATGGTTTGAAGTCAGAGCTGACTAGTTTGTTGTGGCTACAGATTCTATACGGAGTGCTTGGGAATGAAGCTGTTGAGGAAGCGTGACATACCAGAAGAGAGATATACAAATGCTTTTCTTGGATATGGGCCTGAAGATTCCTATTTTGTCGTTGAACTTACTTACAGTAAGCCTTCTGATTGATCAGCATCTCTGTCATATTTTCCTGGAAGATTGAATATATATATTCATTGGCAAGAAACACACACACACCCACTTTCCCCTTGGGCGACTTGAACCTTGGACCTTCACTTCTTTTGAATTTTCAAATGTGTATAGTCTATTAACGAAATCTGTTACTCTCCCCTATTACTGTATGCTGACTTCTCACTGGTTTTGGGTTAATAATGCTTTCAGATTATGGAGTTGACAAGTATGACATTGGAACTGGTTTTGGACATTTTGGTATTGCAGTTGAGGATGTAAGTTCATTTTGCTTAAAAAAATGGATTGTCTATCTTTGGTTATGACCACATCCCGGCTTACTACCAGATATGTTGCACCATAAATTTCTATTAATTGAGATGGATATGCATTCCACAGCCATCATCATATTGAGTAAAATCATAGAATATGTTTCACCATAGGTCCATAGTTGTGTATTACCCCAAGTGCCATCAGTTCTGAAGACAAAATGGTGAAAATTAAAACTGGCAATTGTATTCGATAACAAGTGGTTCGAGCTCAGTTTTCTATGCTAGTGAATGCATAATAAAGTATGCTTATAAGGTGGAGTTTCAGCTTATCCCCATTCAATTGCCTCCTAAAATGAGGAGAAAAATGAGTAAGTCGCTTTACTTTGGTGCTGTTTTGAAATTTTTTAATTTGTGTTGAGAATTTTTAAGTGCTGATTTGATACTGAATTGTGAATTTTGATTTTTTTTTTTCCAAGGTTAAATATGTCCAGTTTAATAGAAACTTTAAACAAATTTTCACTAGCGCGTCAGTGATAACAGCGGAAACACATGAAAATCAAGATCCAATGAAAGCTAACAAACCAATCATACACAAACACAAGATATAATGTGATCCAGCCAAAACCAGCCTACATTCACGAATGAGAAGAGATTCCATTATGATTCCGTAGAGATATTACAATAGAAGAGTACCAATACTGTGTACATGTCTTTCACCATGTATTACTCCATGAGTCTGTCTCCTTGCTACTAGTGCCACTGATGTTTTTCCTTCTCTACCAAAACCCTTAAACTACCTCTACCCATTAATTCACTCATGAGACTACATCCCTCTCAATCTCATAAGTCTCAACTCATAACCTAGGTTACTATTTATATAGTTCTAAACTCAATTCTTGGACAAGGATTACAATTCCTTGGAGCCCAATACTTTTCTAACAAGAAATTCCTAACAAATACAATTCTAAAATAGTATCCTAATTAAAATAGAATTTGAGACGAAATTCCCAACAATCTTCAGTCAAATCTCTAAGGCTCCACCTTGACTATTCTAGCTCCATGCCTTGAAACCCATCACGATTTTCTGAACATCGAGACCAACCAAGCCGATTGATTGACTCCACCTGTAAGACTCTTTGTGTTTTCTGGATCTCCTTCACCTTCAATTTTGTTCTTGGACTTAGAATGACTTATGCTGCTAGACCCTACATTTTGAATCTTTCTCCCTTTAACAACTGTCGAACCTTCTATGTTGCCCTCAAACACCGTTCTTTGCAACTCCCTCAAATTCAAAGTTGCCTTCATGTCTTCCACATAAAACACAATTCTACCGTACATCATCGTATCGGCAAAGTTCTCATATGAGGCTGGTAGAGAACACAACAGAATAACAGCCTGGTCCTAATCCAATATTGAAACATCAGTATTATTCAAATTCATGATGATAATGTTTACCTCGTCAAGATGGTCTTTTAGAGACGAACCTTTATGCATATGGAGGGTGAACAACTGCTTCTTTAGATACAAGCGGTTCGTACAGACTTCCAACTTGTACCACAGCCCATTCGGCATAGTCTCTCCAGAAACTTCTCGCAAAACCTTGTTACTCAAGTACAAAATAATCGCACTATGTGCTTTTTCCATCACCTCATCATTGTTCTTGATCTTTTCTGGCAGTGCATCCTTTCCCTTTAGCACGTTGGATAACCCATGTTGAACCAACAGAGCATGCATCCTAATCTGCCACAGGTTCAAGTTGTTCCTGTCGTTGATTTTCTCGATTTTTCAGAAACTTGGTTGCCATCTCAGATCGCCTAGGACCAAAGCTCTGATACCATACTAGTTTGTTACGACAAACACTGCATACCAAGAATAAATCATGAAATTGACAGAAAAGCAAACACACACCGCACAAAGAACACAGGTTTATGTTAAAATCTTTCACCAAATCTTCACTGTTGACGCAGGCTTTGCGTCGAACCACATAAATCTTTGGGTGTTGTGTGTTTGCTTTTCTATTGATTCCTTGATTTGTTCTTGGTTCCCGGTGTTTGTCATAACAAGTTATAAGTTCCATTCGCTTAAATCTGGACTCCTTTTTAAGTGGAACCTATTTTCCTAAATGACACTCGAATTGTGTTTTCATACGTACTTACTGGTTTATCAAACAGCCCTTCATGTTGGATAAGTTTAATATTTGTTGTATTGCTCGTATACAATACCAATTAGCCAAACGTTCTCGTGACGCTTATGGACTCGCAGTATCAGTTCATTAGTACCATGAGTGGGATCTTATTATTTATAACAAAAAATGAAATCTTACCGGTGAAACTTCATATTTGAATGATTGTGTGTAAACCATGCAATTGCCTGTCTCTTCTGCATGTCAAGCTCCTTATGAGTAATACCACTTTCTCCAAGTGCATCTGAAGAGTTTAGTAGATCTGAAGTTAGATTTTATCAAACAGATATGCTGTGGAGTTGACCAACCTAGGGTTGCAACTCGTGTGGATTATTAAATCTTGCCCATGTCTATGCCATGTGATGCTAAAGTTTGTCTATCTTATCAATGCAGCAAACCAGATGGGTTTTTTTCGTGTTGTCCACTAAAGTGACTTTTCTGTCATGGAACTTTGAAAATATATTTGTAAAGAAAATAAACATTTTGAAGTCATTTATCTCTATTTCCCATTCGGCAGATTTTTTGGGTGGAGGTTCACATATAATTACTTTCATATTCATGTATTTAATTATTATTATTATTATTATAGGTTGAAAAAACAGTAGATCTTATAAAAGCAAAGGGGGGAAAAGTTACCAGGGAACCTGGTCCTGTCAAAGGTGGTACTACAATAATTGCCTTCATTGAAGATCCAGATGGCTACAAGTTTGAGCTTTTGGAGCGGGGGCCTACATCTGAGCCCCTCTGTCAAGTAATGCTGCGAGTTGGAGATCTTGACCGCTCCATAAATTTTTATAAGAAGGTTTGTAGCATTTTATGTTATATGCAAACTGTTGAAATTTGAGCAATATCCATATTTTGCGGTTACATACATGAATTGCCTAAAGTTTTAAACCCTTCTTGAATTTAAAGGCTTTTGGCATGGAGCTTCTCCGGAAAAGCGATAACCCTGAGTACAAGGTTAGTTCTTAGCTTCCATTTGACAACAATATTTGAAGTTCAAAATTCTCTGTCTACTCTCTTAAATGCAGGTTTTATCTATTTCCATGCCATTCTAATAACATGTGTGAGTGTAGTGCTGTGTTCAACTTGAATACATGCTTGGTCCAGATATTTATTTAGGTGTTAGATTTGTTTGATCCCCAATTCTTTAGACATGATATTTTTGCTATAGTGTTTTGGGTCCAAAGGTTGAGCTATGGGATGTGTCCTAACCCATTTGGTTATCATTCATTTATTTTTTTGTCATTATTTGTTCCTTTTACACAAGGAAGCAGCTATTTGGGATGTGTCATGCACGGGTGTGTAGGACATGCATCTCAAACTTGTGCATGTGTTCTACCATGTGTAAAGTGCTTCCTTGAAGAGGCAACTTAAGAGAGGTGAGCAAGACTCTTCATGTGGAAGTAAATATAATGTGCTTGTGTCAGATGGCATGTCAGTGCTTTATAAAATTTCCATAGTGGATGCTATTTTTGAAAGTGAAAGTGCTAGGACGAGCTTTACACGACCCCATCATGCTGAAACCTGGAATGTTGTGCTGACAAATTCATGGTGAAATTACTTTGTTTTGGGGCCCATTACCCTCCATTCAAAGAGTTATGCTCTTTCAAAACCTTCCATGATTTTCATCGCTCTTTTTATCAATTTTTCTTCATTTGAATATTTTACGAGTTTTGCTGCAAGTTATCTGCATGTTTGACTCAAATTGATGTTTGGTTGTGCTTTGCCCCAGTATACAATAGCAATGATGGGCTACGGACCTGAAGATAAAAACACCGTGCTAGAACTGACATATAACTATGGGGTCACAGAATATGACAAAGGAAATGGTTATGCACAGGTGAATTTTCTACCTTTACCTAGATTCATCAGAGTTTGGCACGTTGTAGACTTACGCTATGTCATCAATTAACAACACCAATCATTATGTTTACCAGATTGCAATAGGCACTGATGATGTCTACAAGACTGCAGAAGTGGTCAAACTGTGTGGTGGGAAAATTATTCTCGAACCTGGGCCTTTGCCAGGTATCAACACCAAGGTTACTGCCTGCTTGGATCCTGATGGTTGGAAATCGGTATGGCTTTGAATAACTGTAGCCCTATTGACATATGGATTAACTTTTCAGTCTGCTGACCATGCCATTGTTCCTAACTTTTGCTTGCATGGAAGTTTATGGGATTTTTGCTTCTCACAATTAGATAACATCTAAGGAATCTTTTCGTAATGAGCCTAAATTTTAGTTTACTTTCTGAAATTTGTTTTTCTATGAGAGACTTGGGCATGTTTTGAAATGAGAACGGGTGAATAAGTTTTGAAAACTTGAACATCATTTGAAAATTTGTGTATCACTTGTAAGATAAGGCATGGTAAAAATATCCTCCAAAAATGGGTTCTCCTCCAGCTCTCAATCCTCAAAATTTGTTTGTTTGGACCAAATCTGACTCTAATGTTCAACTCAACTCGACAGTCTTAGATCCCAACTACTTGATTTCGGCTACACAATCCTTCTCTTAAGCCATAATGATTTTGATCAAGAGCCACTTCTTCCATTAAGTTACCTCATAAACTTTCAAGAATCTTCCAAACTACGAATATAAGGAGTTACCTACCAAACAAAAAGGAAAAAAAGAATATAGGGAGAGGAACTCAGCTCACTACATAACTATCTTTGGGTCACCGTCTGTTTATGACTAATGCTAATAACTCTTTGAGTTTTATGTATAGTTATATAGATAAATCTTAGAGAGAGAAGAATTGACTGCATATTATTATTATTATTCAAAGGATGATTACAATGAGAATGTATAATGTTCTTAACAACATAAAATAAGGAAAGCAGTTGTTATGCCCCTAATTAAGAATAGCTATTCATGCCCCTAATTAAGGAATAGTTAATCATGCCACTAAAATAAAGAAAATTGTTTAGGTACATTCATGTGAATTATCAGATCCCAAGCAATTACAAGAATGGGTCCATTTTTTCTTTCAGCAGTCCCATTTTGTTGGAGAGTATCAACACAAGAAATTTGTTGGGTGACACCTCGAGAAATTGATAAAAGAGAGAATCTTTATATTCAAGAGCATTATAAGTTCGAAAAATATGTGAATTAGCATTCAACTGATTAGTTATCTCAGTGGCATGAAAAGATTTAAACACATGAAAGAGTGGAGATCGATCTTTAAGAACCTATAACCAAGTCAAACGAGAATAGTCATCAATAAAGGAAACAAAACAACGGGCACCAACCAATCCAGTAGTTCGGGCTGAACCCCAAACATCAGAAGAACAAGTTCAAAAGGGTGTAAATAAGGTCCATATGTCCTAAGTTTAAACGAAACCCTATGATACTTACCAACAGCCACGGTATTAGGCCCTTACCTCCCAAAGGGAGGTTGGGGGTTCAAGCCTCAGTGGAGGCATGTGTGTGTGAGTATCAATTAGGAAAAACCCTATAATGCTTGCTAAGTTCACATGTTTCACAATTAGAAAAACTGGGTAAGGAAGGAAAGTAGTGCCGAAGACTGTCAAACAAAGGATGCCCTAACCAATAGTGCCACTGATACAGAGAAGTCGAGGTATGGAGTGCAGATGAAATCGGCGAACAAGATGACTGAAATTAGTTGCCCACTTCTCAAAGCCCCCACCACTCATCCTCTTCGTCTCTAGATCCTAAAAGACATAGTGAATAGGATAAAATGTTACTGACGAATTTAGGGTAGAGGTAAGCTTATGAATTGATAACATATTAAAGGAAAATTAGGGTAGATACAAGACGTAAGAGACTAGAGGTGCTAATGATACCAATTCCTTGGACTAGAGACTGGGTACCATTAGTTATCGTGACAAATGAGGGTGAAGACATACTAGAAATGAGAGACAGAAGAGAGGGGTTACATGTCATATGATCTGAGGCCCCAGAATCAATGATCCAAGGTGTACTGAGTGAAGAATGAAAACAAGTATTACCTAAATCAACAAAAGTGACTGTGGAAGTGGATGGAGGATTAGCACACTTGACAATTGAATCATACCGAGCCTTAGAGATAAGAACGTGTTCCGCAATAACATGATTAGTGTTCTCCCCCTCAACCACAGCCTGATTTGCCCATATAGGCTTGCCATGAAGTTCCCAAGAATGGTTGGTATGACCACAATGTGTACATGTCCTGCCACCACGACCAATTTGGCCACCACGAGCACCTCTGCTAGTGTGTGAAGGACCACGACCATGTCCTCCTCGGCCACAACGTGAAATATCTGATTGCTCAACTGGAGCTACAAGGGTAGAAAGATCATCCTCCTTTATGGTAGAAGAGTGGATGGAGGCATGTCAAACCCGGGCAAAGGTCTCACTAGCAGTTGGAAAGTCTTTGTCTGAGAGAATCTGAGAACTAATGGGAGCAAGTTCTGGTTGAAGTCCCGATAGAAATTTTGCTACCCAAAATTGTTGTTTTTGAGTCTCTAAATCTGTAGTCAAAGGCTGATAAACAATAAGTTCTTCCCACATGCCTTTTAATTCCGTGTAGTATTCTTCAATCTAACGATCACCCTGTTCAAGAGAAAAGATATCCTAGTACAACTGGTTGATCTGAGAAATATTCTATTCTGACGAATATATCTCTTTGAGAGTGTCCAAATTTCCTTAGCAGACTCCAGAATCGAGACATTATTGAACAACTTTGGTTCCATAACCAGGTCATAATATGTGCATCCTCTTGTTCCCATGCGTCAATCTGTTTTTCATCCTTAGGCTTCGGTGACTTAATATAGGAATGCTTCCCATGGAAAAACTTGGACTGGCTGGGACCATTGAAGGTAATTGGAACCCTTCAATTTGGTAGTAGGCATAGAGCCAAAAAAGAGAGTCCTTGTTTTTCGATTTGTCACCCATTATAGTAGAGACGAGTAAAAGTGTCAAGCAAGAAAAACTACTGAATTTTGGGCATGAGATCAAGAAGAAAGGGACTACTGAATTTTGAACTTCAAGAAGAAAGGGACTTCTTTTTTTATTTTTCAGGTCATTTCTGTTAGAATTACAGAGGCAATTTTTTTTTTTTTTTTTAGAACCTAGGGTTCTAGGTCATCGCTGTCCAAATGAGAAGAACAACAAAGTAGAGAGGTTGACTATACAATAAAAAGAAACTGAGAAGAAGAAAAATGGAAAAAAGAAGACGACGACGAAGCTTACGTAGGTCTCCAACTTTAACCTTGAAGTTCTGATACCATGTCAAAAGTGTAAGCTAAATCTTAGAGAGAGAAGGATCGACTGCATAGTATTATTATTCGAAGGATGATTACATATAATGTTCTCAAGAACATAAAATAAGGAAAGCAGTGATTATGCCCCTAATTAAGGAATAGTTGATGGTGTATTCATGACAGGTGTCAAACCCATGTTTGCATGGATTGTACAAAAGCAAACACAAACTAAGCTTCTCTGTTTAACTCATGTCACATAAGAAATCTACGAAAGAATAAAAGGGTAAAGAAAAACTCCTTTACAAACAAAAATACATGTAATCATTAAACTGCTTTTACTTATGAATCGGCAAACCCAGATCTTCTAAATCCTCTTGTTATGCTTTTCGGGCACACTCAAAACAGACATAATATATCTGTCAGTTTGAATACATTCTTAGTTTTTTCTTGACCCCCAAGTGTTCAAAAAATTTCTGTCCTTGAGTGCTTGGTCTCGCTTTGTTTTCTAGTATCTTAATTCTTGCACTTTGCCAAGTCATCAGTTGTAAATGAATTACTTATCACCAAGCAGAAAAAATGTAGATGGACATTGAACTGATTCATTTTGCTTTGCCAAATTTAGCAAACTCCAGCTGCTGGCGTAGTTGATGAGTTCCATAACACTGTGTTACAATCTGAGTACACTTTGATTATGTCATACAAGGCAAGAGGGTTCATGTTTACTATTAGCAAGCTATTTTCCATCAGAATTATTAATACACTTTTTATTTCAAGCATGACAAATAATAATAGCCTTTTGAATTTCCTATTTTTCATTTTTTGATATGTTACGACCTTTAGTATTAAAAAATTGTTGGAAAATAATCACCATAAATTTTTTTTATTTTTATTTTTATTTTTTTTCTGTTGCACTTCAGCATGCTTGATGCTGCTAGATTATAATTTTTGAGTATGTAAATTCCCAGAGGTTTGACGCAATAAGTTATCTTTCATTTTATCTTACCCAAAAAGGGAAAAATAAAAATTCTTTGTACCCTCTTTTGTAAGCAAGGAATGTTAAGGGCTATGTTTAGTTTACACAGCAGCATATTATAGTCACGTGATTAATTTTCTTTCTTTTTTCTTTACCCTCCTGCAGGTCTTTGTTGATAATGTTGATTTTCTCAAGGAACTGGAATCACTATAGAATCATTTGCAGCTTTAGCACCTCTTGACTGAATCTGTGGAGATTCGTAACGATTTTGTCTATTGAAATCTTGCTTCTGTCAGATTATAACTTCCAAAAGCTCCTAATGAGAGTGTGTGTGCAATACCATTTTGTAGATATAACACTATGTATACAACTGAAATAGTTGAAATTAATGTTTTTTTGTTGCCCTTTGCGCAATCCCTGTTTTGAAATTTGAAATATTAATGCAATTATAATTTGCTTTTAAAATATTGACATTTAGTTCTCTACCAATTCAATATAACCCTTTTTTAATTGAAATCATGCATGTTGGCTCGGCAATTTAACATATGTTGAATCCCCACTATCCACATCTCTTTGTCGTCTTTACTTCTGCATTCGAATTCAATAATTCTCTCTGCAGTTTTTATCCCGAAGTAAGCCCTCTGCTCATTGCTCCCCTCCCACTCTCGTCCAGTCCATGACGGCATGTCACAGTAGACTCCAGAGACTATACCTGCAGGCACAATATGGGTCTGTTCAGATGATATCGGCAGGGGAACAAGGTAAAACATGACATGATGGTATATGGATTTTGCTTACATTTCTTTTTCTTTGTGAATGTTCCTGCCATGTGCTTGCTTTTCATTTTAGCTATCACCTGTTTCTTTTATCTCAATCAGTAGGTATTCATGACCATGTAGAAGAAAAGAACAAGACACCGAGCACATGAACACACGCTTGCATGCTCAAATTCTTCCTTTTGTTATTATGCAACAGAACTATGAAATGGATGTTGATTTTTAATTCGTACAGTTACGGATCTATAGGTATTTGAAGTTTTTTTTCACAATTATTTTATAGAAATCTACTCCATTTTATTTGATAATATCCCCCAATGAATTTGTACAGTATTCTCCTACTTTTACCTGCCAATTTGAATTTATCTTGAAAGAGACTTGCTTCCAATGGAGTGCTCCTGCCATCAACATTTATATGATAGTGAGCGCCACACAATAATTTTAACTTCCAATCCAAGGTTTGTCAATACAGTTTCAGTACTGCATAGTGCTTATTTTACTCTAGTAGTGTCATGCTAAAAAAAGTTACCTTTTCTTGTACGCTTGAGAAGTTCTCCCCCTTTCAGAATGAAGTTCAATGCTTTTGTGACCTTCAATTCTTTACCTTCTTCTGCCTGTTCGGCCAGAGCAATGGTTGTGGCTCCGTAATCTTTCTGCAGTCTTGCCGTTAGTGTGGCAGCCCCTCTCAAGGCTGCATTGGTGATTATCAAATTTGATTAGGAAAGTTTGTTGTGTAATGGTTTTAGTGTTAACATTGTTTTAACCTGAAGTGGATTTTCACTGTTTTTTTTTTTCTTTTCTTAAGGTCACTAAAATATAGTAGATAATGATGTTATATATTTTATTAGCTGCAGGAAACTAGATTTCTAAGAACCTTCACTTGAAATGGTGTTAGACTTGATCCTACTGAATTATATCAATTCACTACCTTGGAATAGCTATTGTTTAAATTAGTTGAATTCTAAGTTACTTATGCTTGATTAATTTTGGTTCTTGACCAAAGTTGTAGTCTATATCATCTACAAAGTGAATGTGTTTTATTTATTAAAAAAATAAAAAATAAATAAAAATAAAAATCAGCAGTGAAATCATTGAATTTTTTCTATCAATTTTGTTGATGCTAACTATGAGTTTTAGAAGAATGGGTATGTGGGGCGGTTGGAGTGATACCAGTGGCTGCTCCAGCAGTTAGGGTCATGATATCACCATTAGTCCTTGCGTTTATTGCAGAACTGACAACAGATAGGATTTGTTCATGTTCAGCTCCCATATCCTCTGCAATCTCTATGCAGTGTGATGCTACTAGAGCAGCTGCAGATGCAATTGCAGCAGATGTTTTGGAGTGTTCCTTGTTATGGGCAGTCATCGACTTTTCAGGAGATGTCGCCGATGAGGCAGCAAGAGCTGCCACAGCAGCAGCAACCCCCACCACAGACACCGCTGCGTGCAATTGAGCATTGTGAGTTCTAACCTCCTGCTTCCTCTCTTTTTGGCATTTCAACAATCTACCCATTGTCTTTCCCTTCATGATGCTCCTGTAGAGCTTTATAACAATGACAATGATCAGAATGATAAAGATGAAAATGGCGATGATCATCAGGTTGAATGAGCAAATACCCCATTTTTGAGTGACTGTTGACTAGATACATGATTGAGTACTTGATGAAGTATAAATAGTTCCTGCAGAGATTAATTTGTTATTAGATTATATTAGGGATAAAGCTTTTGCAATTAGTTGAACATCTAATCCTAGGTAGATTTATTTGCTCATGTTCAATTCTAATTTGCACAATAGCTACTTGGTGATGATAAACAAGATTTGTGTTAACTAAGTACGCAACACACACACACACACACACACACACACACACGGAGAATGCATAGAAAAACCTTTGTATCATAACTTCCTCTTGGAGAAATTGGAGGGCTATCGGCGGTTGGTGGTGGTTGAAGTTGCTACAAGACATGAAAGTTTCATAAAAGTCACAATATTAGGCAGTTAAAAAGATAACACTTTTGACACTGGTGTAGACTAATGAAAAAAGAAGCCTTCTTTATAACTGCTTTAATTAAGGTCAGCTGAGGGATCTTACAGATTCCCTTGAAACGATAGAGCTTGAAAGTTGTGCTTCACCGCCAACCGAACACAACAACAAAGGTGGCTTGTCAAGATGGTCCGATGCTATATTTGCGTGGGAAAGAGCTTTGGAGAGTTCCGTAGCTGAGAGACTCCATGTCCTAGCAAGAAACTCCATCGACTCGGTAGGAGTTTCCGGTGGGTGGCACGCCACCGGAAGCCAACAAGCCGGGCGGTCTTCCTCTATGTTTTTGAGCTTATTTGATGCGCATTTGGCGCCACCCAAGCTTGAAGACACTGTACCAATCACACAAAAGCAAACATCAGTTAATATTTTTTGGTATAGAAATGAAAGATTAGCAGCTTATAATGCTTACTTCTTTGGTTTGTTGCTTCACTCTTTTGAGTTGGAAATGAGGAACCAAGAACAAGAGTAAGAAGAGACTGATATTTAAAATGGTGGTTTGTTAGTGAACTGTTGTGCAAGTCTCTTGAATGAGTGACTAAAATGCAAGAAAACAAGTGGAGGTACATATATATTCTCTGCCATATTATATGATATGATATGATATGAGAGAGGGGTCCCAGTTCTGAAGAAAATGTTTCATTTGTTTCTCCACTCGTGCGCGTGTCATCTTTTGTGGCTTTGTACATAAAGAGCTAAAAAGCATTTTTGAACGGCGGGTTTCATCATTACTAGGTTTGATCCCGTTCTTTGTCACCATTATTACTGCATAAAGTAAGAAAGTGGGCCCTTTAATATTAGCATTTGCTTGAACTTGAATATATATATTTATATGCATGTGTGTGTATTGTAAAATCTTGTGCCTTGATCCTGCGCTTAAATGTTTATTGTTAGTGCTAACACTTGTGATTGGTGTTGTATAAATAATATAAAATTGTTTTATTAGTAGTTATGTGAAGTTTTTGCATAAGCAATGTGATAAGTATAAGCACAGAAGGGGTCAAATACCAGCAGTTTATCAGTTTTTGAGTGCCAATATATGGATTAACATGAATAACTTAGGATTACTAGCACTTTTCACTATGCTACAACAAGCTTTGTTGTATAATTTGTTTATTCATTGGTAACGTTTGGTATTCTTGTTTCATTAATTTGTATGACTTGAAAAGAAAATAATTTTCATTTTTTTTCAAGAGAGAGAGAGAGAGAGAGAGATAGGTGATGTCATATGTTGTAACAATCTTTACATTATCCAAACACAATATTATCCTTTTTTGACTCCCAACCTATGCTGATACTACGCCAGGTTAGCTTAACTCTAGAGTTCTAGCAGCTTTAAGGTGGCCACAATCACTCCCCTTTGGCAGCCAATGTCCTTGTTAGCTACACTTTCGGCTGGATCAAATACCATTTGTAACAATCCTAACCCTATTCATGCACAATATGGTTAACTTTTGGAGTTCTGATAGATTCACGGCCATCATGACTTTAAAACGCATTGTGTCATAGAAGGGTGTTAAAATCTACATATAGCACTTGTCCCCTCCACACCCAGGCAATAGGAGATTGTGCACCTGTGACTCGTCTAATGTGATAGCTTACTAGTGTTACTTACACACGCTCACACACCCGTACACAATATCGCCACATATGTAATCATAAAAAAATAATAATAATAAAAAAAAAAAAAAAACTATATTAAATGTAATCGTTTTTTGTTTCCTAAGCATTGAAAAGTGAATTTTAAGTACTAACATTTTAAATTTTAGGTGATAGTAATAACAGAAAGTACAAGAGGACAAACTCAATTAATTTTATTTAGAGTTCTCCAATTTTCGAACATAATATCATTATCCTTGCAAATTAAAATTTTGCTACTTTATTTTAGTGATGCTTCACTACCAAATCCCAAAGATTAGCTTCATAAGTTCATACAACCCTCGCCTTCTACCTTCCCAAACTGGCATAGAATGAAAATATAGACCATTCCTTCATTTTGAGTATCTTTTACAACATTCACCAATCAAAAGGTGTCTCTTTTTGTTCACTCTTTCATCATTGTTCTAAGTCTAATCATGTCTCAGAAATAGAAATGGAGCACTAATTTTTCAATGTCCCACATCCCACTTCCCACATTTAATCATACTATAACGAGTGGTTAACTACAATATACACACTACATATACAAATCCAGAACTCTTTTTTAATGCCATGCTTTAAATATACTCTAGAAGGTTGATCCATTATGAGGTCCTATGATATGCAAAAGGGTATGTTATTTGCATATCTAACATCTTGTAAATAAATAAAAAAATAAACACATAAATAAATAAAGAAAAATGAAGGGCTTGCAATTATCAAGTATTTGGACAGAGGGATAGTAAATCTTGCCTAGAAAACTTGATTTATGCTCCCCAGTTTAGTCCCACGGATTAATCTATCCATGAAATTGTTAAATAGGCTCACAATTAGTCTTTTCAAACATCAAATTAAGAGGACAAGTGGAGTGTTTTTTTTTTGTTTTTTTTATATTATCAAAAAATTACAAAATACTCTCCACTTTTCTTCTTTTTTTAAAATTTTTTTCACAAGTGTACCTATAATTTTCCAAAACTTCAATTCCCCCAAGTTATTGTTTTGATAAATATATCCTTTTGCTTGTCCATTTTACCCTTTGTTGATTTTACATATAAGAAATTAGGAGTGTTGCATGTTCAAGAGAATTTTCGTCTAAATAAGTTCATACATAACATGGTATTTGCAACCTCTGATAAATTATGTATATTTGCTGCCCTATAAAAAAATAATAATAATAATGGAATATCTTTTAACTTTCGATAGTATATTTGACGCCATATGGGTTTAGTGAAATTTGGCCAAAGAAAAAAACACCAAATGTGGGAGGGGCTCAATGCCCTAATTACATCAAAATGGACAGATATAGCCCTTCAATTATGTTTATTTATCTTTTTTTTGGGTAAATAAATCACACAAATCAATTATTTTGCAATTAAAACTCAACACCCAATCTTCCACTAAAGAAGAACAATATGGCAATGGAAAGACAGGCCGCGTTAGGAGGCGTCAAGAGAGGAGAGGAGAGCTAATATGACGGGGCAAAATTGTCATTCTACATTTCAATAATTATAATATTAAAATATTAAGATATAATGGACAATTTTTTTTTTTTTTTTTTTTTTTTTTTTGTAGTTAAGACTCTCACACCTCCACTATAATTCGAGCCTCCAACTTCCCTTCGAAAAGTAAGAGCCTTGAGCCACATGGCTGTTAGTAATATAATGGACATTTCACACACTACCATTTAGTCATCCTAATGGTAAAAATTGTCATTTTTGCGTTTTTATTTTGTTTTGTATAGAATTTTTTTTTCCTCGTTTGTTTATTAAATTGATAGAATTCTCTCTTCATCCAATACCTCCACCAGCTAATGCACACTGATCTCAACACTCACGTTATTTGCAGCACCATGGTTTTTGGATTCTTCATATTTCTTCATTTCAATCAACATTTTGTACACCATATATAATTGAAGAAGATGATATGATTCATGTACATCTTATTCACGGGGTAATGTACGCACTTCTTTAGAAATACAAAGAACTACTATTAAACACTAAATTTTGAAGGACCCATAACTTTGGTGATGGTGCTATTTGTATATCACTCATCATATATCTATATATATATATGTGCGTGTGTCGTGAGAGAGCATAATGGCAAGAACTAAAATTACACACACACACACACACACACACACACACACACACACACACATTCTGAACTATTTGAACTTTTAAAAATAACGAAATTGAGAGGGGTAGAGACCTAAAATGAGTACAACGAACTCATTCTCAATCACAATTATGTGATAGCACCCTTGAACTATTTGAAATTCTAAAAATAATGAAATTGAGAGAGAGGATGAAGGTCATATAAGAGAGTAAGAGGAGAAACCAAGCTTCCATCTCAATTGGCATACCTTCACCTTCGATTCAAGATCCCACACACACACACACACACACACACACACACTTTCCCTTCTGGGTGTGGGGAGGTGTTCTACTTATAATAATTAAAAAATTAAATTAAAAATAAAAAAGGTGTAAGAACGGAGAGAGAGGTGTTGGCCATTGCAACCTTGCAACTCATTTTTTCCAAGAACTGGGAAAGGGGTGCAATGAAACATCAAAGGTTGTGGATTATTCGATTATTGAACAGAATGGAAAGGAAGGCAATAGTACCACCTGATTAATTTGTCTAGTGAATCAGCTTCCTCCTATACTCGGAGGAACAGCTGTTTTAGGCTTTGCATACCATCTCCCGGTGAAGCATGCGTTCCTGATGACTTCTCTTATCCACTGCCAGTTAAGTAGAAAAATAAATCCCTGTGAGATTCAACTCATAATTGAAGAAAATCGGTTATAAAACTTGCTTCATGTTTCCAACAAAACGATAACACTCTCAAAAGATTAAACAACTCAGCAAAGCTCAGTTAATCCTATAATATTAATTACCTTGGAATCCCCAAAATATAAAGCTCCACATGAATAACACCAAGAAGATTTGGATTTCTTACAAAAAGCAGTTGAATTGACTTCAAAACCTTCCCGTTAGATCCCCTTCATCAATTACACCCATCATATATCATAATCTGAGACATGAAAATTGGTATATCCATATAAGGCTAGATGCAACAAGCCATATCATAATCATAGCTTCAAAACACGGAAAAGAAAATATGTATCTGAAGTACCTGAAACACTAGATTACCATGTTCACACTCTGAAGGGCTCGAGTACCTAGGTTAAAACTGACCCAGGTGAAAATCCAGGGCTTCGATCCAAAGAAATTAAAAGATAAAAAATTGAAACTATGTCGATCCTGAATTAAAAGAAATACATAGTGAAAAATACCAAATAACACAATGCAGCTTTATGATCTATAAACACAAGAATGGTAGAAACACTTCATACATCCTTCTTGGAATGGTAAAACAGGCAACTGGTAAAACAGGCAACTGGCTTTAGTCAATTTTGCCATCTATATACTCATTAACATCAAAAGGCAATTGACAAGCGAAATTATAACATCATCGAATGTGTTTGTACTCTGTAGTCACCTTAAGAGAAATACATTACGTGATTTGGCACTGACTGACTCAAGGAATGCTAACTTCACAACAGAGGCAAATCTGCAGAACATTCTATGTATCTTCTCCGTCAGATCCATGTCCTTGAGAAAGAAAGATAAAAGAAGGCTCACTAGTTGATCAATAATATATACAGACCCGTATACAGTTTTATAGAATATAAGCATCCATAGATTATGCGATATGGCATAATACATCACAAAAAAAAGAAACGAGTCAGATAAAGTCATCATTACCAATTACTTGGGAGAAGAAATGCGGTGCAACGTTTGCATCCAACTGCTTGAGGGACCAACTTTTCTCCCTAGTCCATGACCAATGTTCGCAGCTTCAGTTGGCTCCTCTGGCTTCGGAAGATTTCTTTCCAAGGTGCTGGCCAACGAAAACGAAGTAGATGGCATTGCCGCATTGCTTATACTCTGTAACAATCAAATTAGTACAGTTGTCATTCAAAGAGTCCAAGTCACAGCATAATACAACTGATAAAAAGAAGCAGAAAGAGATGATCCCATTTGTGATGGAGTGCATTGCATTATTAGCATGAAAAGCTACAGGTGGATGCATTTTCCAGGAAAATCATAAACCAAGTACAAAAGATATAGAGAGGTGGAATAAAAGCAAACTAACTATTAGAATAACTTACATGTTTCTGGATGGGATTATCAGCATTTGAATTATATGCTACTCCCGATCTAGAATGCATATGACCACCAGCATGCATGAAACCACTTTCTCTGCGGTCTGTAGCTGCAGCTGAAAAAGAAGCATCATTGCCTCCTGAAAATTCAAGATATGAACTTAAATTCCACTTCATCAAGTATCTTAAACGTAAGATGAATTTATGGAGCTTTCATCTTATAATAGCAAGGTTCCTAACAGCTTTCACCAGAATATCAGTCTAAGTTCTGCCATTAGGTTCTAAGTTGAGGCTTTCAAGGACTAGCCACCTACTAATTAAGAACTGGGTCCTGTCATAAGATGTAGAGAATTAGTTTTTCTTTAAATAGGTCTAATTCCAACTATTTATTATTTTTTGAAATCTCAATAATGATATTTTTATTGAAATATCAATAATGATATTTTTTTCCGTTTAACCCAAGTGTCTGAATAATCAATCAAAGTTCCAAACCAAATCACGTAAAAGAAGACACCAAATTTTATGTCAAAAACCCTAAAAAGAGAAAACCATGGGACCTTCAGTCCAGGCACAAACAATCCACTATTTGAGAGGTTTAACACTTAAAGTATCAGAATCTAGCCCTAGTATTACCTAGTTACATATGATCCAAACTACCTTGAACGCAGCTACTGTCAATCAACACACTTTTTCTCCAACAACACTTGCTTTCCTTGATTGTTCATCCTTTCCTTGTTCTTCAACAATACCCGGGTTTTTTATTGTTGAAAATCCTCAATTCAAATCCTCACTTTGATTCACTAAATCTCGTGAGAATGGTGATTTAAGTGGCAACCCTAGATTGAAATTAAACCTCTAAGCTTTCTCTCTTTATAATTTTCCCTAAAGATCATACTCTAGACTGACTATAACCATGTATCTTAGTCATTATTATAGGAAAACCAAAGAAAATAAGAAACTTCTCTTAGTTTGTTTTTTTTGTTTTTTTTAATAAAATCGTAATAATTAAATGTTGTCTATTGATGATCGACCAATCGAGTAACAAATTTGATTGATTGAAGTACTCTAGAATCCCGCAAACCAATAAGTTTGATGGATCAAGCTTCGATTATTGCAATCTGCCTTTATTTCTGCCTGGTTCTATTGCTCAAAATTCCTACTTCTCAAATTCTTGACTTAAATTGAATTTAATGCTCAAATACCTACACACAGGCAGTCCAACTGTCTAATAAATTAACCAACGTAGATTCCAATGTCTGCTAAGATCTTTTATTAACCTTTTCCTAAACATTTGGATGAACTCGATGGATTTCTTTATATAATTGTCAATTTTGCTACATCTTCATCTTCTTCAATTGTGCACATATAGATATTATGTTCAAGTTCAACTACAACAGAGTCTTGTATAGCAATTTGCCAACACATGACTCAACATCCTAACACAACATGTAATTTATTCATAGAATTTGAAAATAAAATCACTACAGGAACACAGTTTTCACCTGCCAAAAGCTTACCTTGATGCTTACCCAAATCCATTGGCACTGCTTTCTTGCTGTTCACTCCAGAAAGTGGCTGCAAATTCTGAGATAGTCTCATGAGAAAGGACAACACCATAAGTTATTAAGAAACCAAAATTACAAAATAGCGAAGAACTATGTTAGATTGACATTTATTTGGAATTAAATATAAAAGATATAAGCTATAAGGCACATGATAACAAGGAAGAAAGGCTAAGCCATGATCAAGTTAATTCATACAAGACCAAGTCCTGGAAATACTAACAGAGGATTGGGGCTGTGTCTTTGTCCTTTGCGCTTGCTGGTACTTTAGGATAGTCCAATCAAATATGTAATCAAATTGGAAACCTGTCAGACATAACATAACAAGTGAGTCATACAGCGATAAGTGACATTTTAATTAATTTATGTCCGCTCAGTGCTTATCTAAATGAACCCCACCAACTTAATACATCATCTAGGAAGAAAAGACATTCCAAGACTGGCATCCATGTCACATTTAGATAGAAACTACAAAGCACAACAGTGATCTTCTCCAGAATGACCAAAACATGACAAATCCAGCAAATAAGAAAATAAAAGAATCTGACAAGTACATTTTCAAAGGTTCAAAACATTGAAAGACTGAATACACAAAATACAGAATGTTAAGAATTAAGGGTTTGGATTCTGCGTAAATTATTTACTAATAAGCTTCCTGGCACGGATCAGAGACCTAGCACTGAGGTTGTAAGATCACCATTTCATTTCTCTACTTCAATGAAAACAAGTTGAGACAGGTGCTAGTGTGCTACACAAACACACTACTTGATATCTCTGAACAGACCCTCACTAATTTAAACTGGACCATCACGGCTGTCATCTATACAAAATGATAATGACCCACAACTTTGCTCATAATGACTACATAAAGTTTTGGCATCTAACAGAAACAATTATGAAATTGTTTATAATGCAGATTAACTATTAGATGAGAAAAAATGCAATAAAATATAAAATGATTAGAATGTAATGTCTAGCCGTCAGATTACAAAGGTCACAGTCTCATAACCAATGGAGTGTACAGTGCATTAACTATCTAACGAATTTGGAGTTTACTGATACCTTCACGAGTAAACAAGTCACGAAATAGGCGCCTCAAGAATCCATAATCAGGCCGCTGATCAAATGTTAAAGAGTGGCAATAATGGAAGTAGGATGCAAACTCCACCGGATGAGACTTGCATAAAACCTTTTGAAAACAATCATGTCAGTTAACTTTTTCATGCCGAAGGTACAAGTTTACCAGTAAATAAAAATTTCGGTAAACAACAACAGGTCCCCATAAAGATTTTAGAACTGATTCTTTCCAAAACTCTTTTAGGTAGGCTCCATTATCATCACCAAAATAATGTTCAAGCCTTTTTGTGTTGTATAAAATAAATCAATCACATCATTTTAAAATACCTCAATGGGAGTAGATAACTTCTTCTCACATATTTTGTCATATTTTTGCTTTTTTGTTGCAGCTTTTAGACCCTGCCATGGAAGGCTAAAGGAAGAAAACGATTAATCAACATAAAATCGTCAAAACACCCCCATCAATGTTATAAAAGTACAATACAGTAATTTTTGGAAAAAGAAAAAAGAAAAAAAAAAAAAATGCATATCCCAGGCTCAAAAATCTATTTCAGTAGAACTCCGATATATCATTACAGAAATGTAAAAATACCCAATAATGGGAACAGAGCCTAAGAAGTTCATGCAGTAATAAGAGACCATTTCAGCAATGTAAAAATACCCAATAAGGGGAACAGGGCCTAAAGTTCATGCAGGAATAAGAAATGGTAATCCTGGGAAATGGGCATACCTTCCTCTCAAAAAGTACAAAAGAACGTAGCCAAGGGATTCCAAATCATCGCGACGGCTTTGTTCTGAAGACAAGGAAACAAAATCAGATATGAATAAAAATGCTCAACACCGTATATCAAACAAGCCAATTGACCATTCGCTACTTACCAATTCCTAAATGAGTATTGCAACTTGCATATCGTGCAGTCCCTGTTAAGTTTTTATTCTCTCTGTATGAGTGAAGGGTAGGCAAGAATATTTAGAATAGTATGGCCTAGGAATGCAAGTTCAAGCAAGGAAAAACAGAAGGCCATGATACCAGAATATACAAATCAGGGAAAAACACACAAGATAGCATCATTTCTAAACAGTCGGGATAACGAGCTTAACAGCGTCCTACTTGATGATATTGATGAGGATGATAATGCAGACATTTCTGAGATAGTCACGTATTAAGAAAAAAGATTAATTTGTCACGTATTAAGAAAAATTGAAGAGTAAGGAAAAGATGTTAACGCTAAAAGTTGTGTACAAAACATACATATAAAGATCTATAGTTTTGAATTTTCAGTTACAGATAAACTATATAAAAGCAGCTGTCACATTTCGCACCCACACAAAGATCCGTTTTAACTTCTTTTTCCTTTCTTTCTTTCTTTCTTATTTTAACTGAGAAAAAGAATCAGCTACAGAACAGTTACAGAGAATTGAACCTCTAACCAAAAGAAGATGTTTGTTTTTCTAGTATCATGCAGATGCCAAAATTTATATTCTATTGGTCAACCTATCAGAAAATTCACCCCCCCCCCCCCCCCCAACCCACAAATACATACATACATACATACATACATATATATATATATGTGTGTGTGTGTGTGTAATGATAACACACATAAGGACACACACACACAGAAAGGGTTCATATTTCATTACTTCAGCAAAGAATAATCATCCAGAAAAAGAATAATCTCAGGAAAACAAGTTTTCAGCATAGTTATACAGTTTGTTGGATTTCCGAATTATCAACAGAAAAGTACTCCACAATAGTTAATAATAGTTATCCGCTATCACCATAAAAATATATTGATATGGAACATGTACAACCAAACAACTAAACAATGGGCAGTGTCCAGCACAGAAATGGTAGTAAACCCAAAAACAAATGGTTATTGAATACATACCTGTACGGGATATGACGGTTCGTAGTAGAATCACGATATCTTTTTGCTAGCCCAAAATCAATAATGTAAACCTGAAGAGCATAAGAAGGTGAGAAATTGAGACCGACCAGATATAGAACAAAGAAATCTGAAGAAACAGATATATTCAAGCATGCTATGTGTTAAAGAAGAACAAACAACAATAATCATTACCTGATTTGCTTTCCGGCCAAGACCCATGAGGAAATTATCTGGTTTGATGTCTCTATGCAAAAACCCTTTAGAATGCATATATTCTATTCTCGGAATCTGAAATTTATTAAATGAAACAAAAGTTCTTCATTACTAATTTGGATTTAATAAAGTCTACTAATCATAAACACAAAACAAATACGGTAGCCAAACCTACAATGCATTCCAGAATCCAGGACACTATATTAAACAATTTTTTTCCCACAAGTAGGTTGCTTATGGTATATATAAAGCTAACTGAAAAACCACAAAAATTTAGGTATATACAATTTATTCTAAATCCTAATTTGCAACATAAAAGATAATGATGATACAAACAGCTGATAACTCAATATACACACACAACTTAAATTGACACCTGAAAAAAATGATTTTGAATGCCAACAGTCCTTTCTAATTAACTTGTTAGAACTCTAGAGCAAACGATAATCAGTGTGGGGTGTCTACATTAGCAAATATATCAAACCAAGAAATAGAATATGGTTACCATCTGATCAGCCAACATTAACACTGTTTTCAGTGAGAACCTCCTCCCACAGTAAACAAACAGGTCTTCAAGACTCGGTCCTAGCAGGTCAAGGACAAGGATATTGTCTTCTCCATCTACACCACACCATTTTGTGTTTGCAATACCACCTAAATGATGTCAAAATGAAAGAATTAATGAAATTGACAAAAATGATCTGGACAATGTGTATATAAGTCCAACCAAGTACTCTCGACATCAATATTATACTTACTTCCTCCCTGAAGAATATTATATAGCTTGGCCTCGTAAAGCAACTGAGGGTGTTTTGTCTTGCTATTCTCCTACAAACATAAACAAGAAAGCCATCAATTATCATATAAGTCATTAATTAAAACAACAGCTGCTATCTCTAATGTGACAGATAAACTCAACAACCACTTTTATGGGGGGAAAACAAAAAACTTTATACTCACTTCTAAGCTAAATTTGATCGTCCAAGTAAATATTTTTTACCAACATTTGAAATGTATGTATTAAACAGATAAACTTAAACATAACTCCATGCCACACAACAGAACATTTAACCCACTTCTCTAGTTCTTAATTTTGTTACACTAATCAAGCATAGGCTTTCGTCTAAATAATCAAAATTAAGAAAACCTTCTGCATAACAAAATTTGAGAAAGAAAAAGTCTTGGACCAACCAAGTGATCAGATAGTGATCAGATTCTATCAAATTAACCAAAATTTTGAAAAACCCATCAACTAATGAATTCCAGGGAATTAGAACAGATAACTAACACCCAAACCACCACCATCATCACCACCACCACCCCCCACCTTCACCCCCAAAAAAAGAAAAAGAAAAAGAAAAAAACGTAAAACAAAATCTGACAGATAATTTGCCCAAAGAGGATTTGCCATTGAACAATAACGTTCAATTAAGTAGTAAAAGCTCACTCTGTGTGTGTGTGTGTATATATATATATATACGCGTATATGTGTATAAATCAATATAATGAATATGAAATAACAAAAAGCAATTGGGTTCAAGATCTTACAATTTTGACAGCAACTATCTCAAAACTATCGACGTGAGTAGCTGAAAGAGATAAAAAGGAACAAAAAAAAAAAAAAAGAGATCACAAAATTAGCAAGGCACAAAGAAGACGTGAAGAAATAAGATCAAATACAACATATAAATAAGAATCGAAACAGACCCAGATAGATTTCACCAAACGATCCGCTTCCGATCTTGCGACCTAGCTTATACTTCCCTCCCACTATCCTTTCCATATGAATGGGTATGCTCCGATTTGATGATCCCTTTCCCTCTCTGTCTCTCTGTGGAATGAATAATTGATGGATCGAGTCTGCTGATAAAATTAGGGTTTCTGAGATTGAGTTTGGTTTGAATATAAAATGAAACTAGAGCATGGAAAATTTTGAATACGATAGAGAGAAAATAAGAAGAATCAAGAAGGTTGTTAGAAGAAGGTTTGAGGTGGACTTTTAAGCCACCACTCAATTGGCAACGAATCTAGCCATCGCAACACCTATATAAGGTAACGCAGCACTCTATTAAACTTCATTTTATCGCTCTAAATCCGGCAGTTTTATACCAAGGCATATATATATACGCACACTATATCTTAATGGTATAAGTTCATCTTCCTACGAGGAAAGAAGAGGATTGGATGCCGACGAAATGTGAGATAAATAGTGTGTTAATGTATTTTTTTTTTAAATTTGACACCAACTCTTCTCAACTTCTAAATCACATCAACCTTAATGATATAACTTATTCATCCCAGAAAGAAATAATGACATCTAGCTTAATGATATAATTTATTCATCTTACAAAAAAATAATGTTGTCTTATGCATCTTACCAAGAAATAATGTTGTGGTTTGGTACGTAAAAATGAAATGAAATAAAATATTCATTCTAATTCTTTCTTTATTTGGTATACAATTAAATGTGAGAATAGTCATTCCATTATAATAAAAATTCATTATTGGAAATGAAAATCTATTTCATAACTAAACTTATTGAATGATCATTCCATTCTCATGCAATTTTTTTTAAAAAATAAACTTTCCAAAAACTCTCATATTCCAAGTTCAAAAACTACTCCTATCTTCCACTACAACCACTTTCACTACAGCCGCTATGGACTTTCATCACCACCCACCGCATCCCACTACCACCGCCATTGCTATTGCCTTTCACCACCTTCCACCACCACCATTGCCTTTTACCACAGCCACCACCACCACTATCATCTTTCACCGCTACCACCTCCCACCACAGTCACGATCACTGCCTTCCACCACCACCATCATCTTTCGCCACCACCACTTCCACAGCCTTCTACAACCACCACCATCGTCACCGCCACCCCTTCCACCACCGCCACCTCCCATTGCCTTCCACCACCACCATCATCGCCTTCCACTACCACCGCCACTGTCTTCCACCACTACCGCAGTCACCTCCATTGGCTTCCATCACCATCACTTACACCACTATCTCCTTCCACCACTACCACCACATTACTGTCACCGCCTTCCACCACCCTGCCGCTGCAGCCGCCTTCCAACACCATTACCGCTCCACCTCCACCACCATCCACCACCGCCACTGCCACCATTTTAAAAATAAAAATAAAAAAATTATAGAAAAATGTCATTTTGTTAATTTTATTTATTCGTTACTACGAGAGATATTTTGGAGAATTCAATTTGAAATCTATTCCATTCAAAATTTTAAATTGGTCCAACCAAACACTAGAATGGTTCTTATTATTCAATTCATACACATTTCATATTTACAACCAAACAATAGAATGAGAATGACCATTCCATTTTCATTCTCATTTCATTCCATTCCCATTTGCATTTTATTCAAAATCTGCACACCAAACATATAGGATTCGATGTTGAAATGTGAGTAAAAATAATATTTTTATCAAGGTATATGTATTAGGTATTGATTTAAAAATCGAATTCCGTTTTGTGTGTGAGGAGTGATAAGTGACATCACATACCACTCCACTTAGAAAAAATGAATTTGATAATTACCGAATTCGATTCTTAAATCATTATCCCTAAATTTATCTAATAAACAAAAACAAAGTTCTTTCAATTTCATATGAAACAAACAAAGTAACTTTGTTTTTTTTCTTTTTTTCTTTTATGTGGTGTTATTTATTCCAAAACAAAAACATGTTTGGTAATTAAATTGTTAAACAATGTTTCATAAAAAAAAACGTTTTAATTATTTTTTAAAAATGGTATTTACATTATATTGATTTTTTTTACAAAAAATTATTACAGCTGTTTAGTTACAATAATAAAAGCAAGTGAAAATAAAATAATAATAAAAAACAAAGAAGGAGAAGGAAGAAAAATTAGCTTTATTTGGAATCAAATTCTTTTAGATTTAAAATTAGAATTGAAAGGAATAGGATTCAAATTAAAATGGGATTCCAATTTATGTTTGGAATGAATTGGATTTCAAATGAAATGAATTATTTTTAAATATTTGGATGTGAAAAGGAAATTTGAAAGAAAATAAATTTTATACCATTTTACCCCTATAGATATTTATTAATATATAATAGGCTAAATTACACTGAGCTCCCTTAAATTTTTTTCAAATTACATAGACTCCCTTATAGTTTTCAAAATTACTCTGACCTCCCTAAAAACCAAACTTTGTTACGCAGACCTCCCCTACCATCAAATCAACTAACAGAGTGTTTTTTTTTTTTTTTTTTTACCACAATGCAATTAAATAATCAATTGAAATTACAATAATGTCCATCTTTTACTGATGAAAGGATTAGATGGCCTATGTTTGGAGGCAAAATTGGGAGAGGAAAAACACTTCTCCTCTATTTGTTCTCTCTCTCTCTCTCTACAAATCTCTCTCTCTACAAATACATAATTAAACTTAGAATTGTGAAGGCTACCTTTTTGAAAACTTCAACCACCACCACCATGGCACCGCCTTCCGCTATTACTACCGATTTCCATTGCCATCGCCATCACCGCCTTTCTCCACCATCTTTCGCCACCACCACTGCCACCGTCACTACCGCCACCCACCACAACCACTTAAAATTGTGATTATCAATTCATTTCATATTTGCAACAAAATAAAAGAATGAAAACGACCATTCCATTCCATTTCATTTCCATTATCATTCCATTCCATTCCCAACTTTATTTCATTTCATTCAATACAATACTTTATTGCTCCATTATATTAGTGACATAGTATCACTAATTGATTAAATACAATACTTATTGCTCCATTATATTAATGACATTAGAGGTGGTAATTCGTGTTGACGGATCGTGTTTGTGTCAACACGATTATGATACAAATACGACATGATTATTAATCGTGTCAAAACCCCATAACACGAATATGACACAATTATTATACGTATAACATGATACGACACGCGTAACCCGTTTAATAAATGGGTCAAGACTTGACACGGCACGAAAGGACACGTTTAAGTAATTTTGACATAAACACGATACATTTATTTTACACGTTTAACTAAATAGGTCATTTTTTACACGAATACAACACATTTAGTTAATCGGGTTAATCGTACCATAATTGTGTTAACAGAGTCAAATATGAATACGACACATTTAGTTAACGGGTCAATCCATGCCAACACGATTATAACACGAACAAGATTTACCCAAATCCAAACCCTCTTATCTCATCTTTGTGTCGTGTTAAATATTGTCACTCCTAAATAATATAATATCACTTACTAAAAAATAAACGTTTTTACTTGTATAATAAGATATAATTGATTAATGTCACACAATTCTTTCTCCAAATTTAAAAGAACACAATTTAAATTTGAGCTATGAGAAACAGTAAGAACCTTTATGGATGCTAATTCGAAGATCATTTAAAGAATATGAAAGAGTTGAATGCTGAAATTTATGAGTGGCTAAGAAAAGTGCGTCAAAGTCAAGTTTCTCATTCCAGTAAAACAATATTGGGTGAAAAACAATGTGTCTCGTGGAATTTAGGGCTTAATTCTTGCGAGAGATAATCCGTCTTCTATTCAATAACTGCTCTGCATGTTGGAATATGATTGCACGCGTCTAATAATAAATGATGGAGTACTTTAAAAGGCCAATGCGTACTTTAAAAGGCCGGCTACATCACAATCGTTCGATTTATTTTAAAATAATAATAATAATAAAAAATTTGTTGATAGTATGTTTGGTTCAATTTGTCAAAAACTAAATTTGTTTTTAAAAAATTAGAAAAAACAAAACAATTAAAATTGTTATACGTTTAAGAAAACTATTTTATGAAACTTGATTTATAAAAGCGGTCTGATGTTTAAATTATTATTTTAAATAAACAAAGTAACAAAGCCGAGGAAAAAAAAAAAGTCTTTAGTCTCTTCTTTTCATTCAATTGACTGACACGTGGTGTCTTGGAGGGTCCGTTACCATAATGTGGCGTTTGGGGAGCTTTTGTTGCCACACTAATATCCTTTCTTGTTTCATACAGTAATCTGTAAATACATTATCCTCTAATATTTTGAGTGGTGCATGTGTAAAATGTTTGACTTTCATATACCATTTGAACCACACTACTTCTTTTACCCCAAACGCCGCCTACTAGTAGTTGGTTCTTCTCGTTCTGATGTCACATTCCACATTGTATAATTTATTAGCAGAGAGACTTGTTCTTGTGTGGATCAAAAATTGAAGGCATAGCTCTCTCAATATTCTCAGGTACACTTTCCCTTCCCTTCCCTTCCCTTCCCTTCATATCAGTGTTTAGAGAGAGAAAGGGAGAGAAATACGGAGGATGGAACAACAAGTGGAAGAGGAGAAGATGGATATCTGTTCAGCTGATCAGAAGTTACTCCGTCACAGTACTCCTCCAGAACCCATAAAGGGTGGTCTCAGAACCATGCCCTTCATCATAGGTAACCATATATACATATACGAATATATACATACATATATATATGTATATTTGATTGTCTTGATTTTGTTTTGGGGCGCAGTGAATGAGTCATTTGAGAAGGTAGCAAGTTTTGGGTTGCTGTCAAACATGATATTCTACTTGATAAGAGACTATCATATGGAGCCTACCAGTGGGTCAAGCATACTTTTCATATGGTCAGCTTTTTCCAATGCTTTGGCCATTTTTGGAGCTTATCTTTCGGATTCTTACTTGGGTCGGTTTCGGGTCATCGCCCTTGGATCAATCTCTAGTCTTCTTGTGAGTGCTTTTAGGGGTTTTTTTCCCCTTCCAATTCAGCCATTAATTGATCAGGCTGTTTGGTTTCACGGAAAATATTTTCTTGGAAACAATTACTAGGTTCCACTTATGTGTATACTTGTGTATGCCTGCGCATATTGCTCTATTATATATGCGATTATATAGCTGTGATATTCAATTAACTTTGGAAAGAGATATCTCTGTGCTCTGTTTCTGTTGTGAAAACAAGTTTTTGCTAGAAATATTTTCTGTTGAAACAAACAGTGAAAAAGTAAGTTTAATACTCTGTTTTGATATAAATTTTTACCTGATTAAAGATAAAGAGACACAAATCCAGTGCTTTTTGTTTCCACCCCCAAAAGGAAAAAGAATAATTTTTATTTATTTTTTGCTATATGGGAAGTTAATCCATGAGATGAATGTTACTGAGGAGACTTAATTACTTATCCATAATATTTTCAATAACATAACTATCAACATATTTGCAGCTTGTTTCTTCTAATGGAAAAGAGTATTTGTTTGGGAAGATTTTTGACCTCTTGTTGGTGAAGGATTTAGATATTTAAGTTACATCCTCTCTAACACTTTAAGATTTTGGAGTAGATAGTTGTTAACATGGTTTCAGAGGTCACCCTGATTTAAAAGAAGGCCATACGTGAAGGGGCCATGTTGAAGGATTTAAATATTTAAGTTACACCCACTCCTCTCATACACTTTTGGAATAAGTTTTTTGTTAAGAAGATTTTCACTTTTTACTGGTTCTACTTTCAATTCATAATTCGTGTCATTCTGTTTCTATAGGGAATGACTCTTCTCTGGTTAACTGCCATGATTCCACAATTGAAACCTTCACCTTGTGACGAGTTCAGCTATAGTTGCAACTCTCCATCAGCAGCCCAACTAGCTGTATTGTACTCTTCTTTTGGGCTAATCTCGATTGGAGCTGGTTGCCTTAGACCTTGTTCTATGGCCTTCGGTGCAGACCAATTGGACAATAAAGAAAACCCCGATAATGAGAAGGTTTTGCAAAGCTTCTTCAATTGGTACTATGCTTCAAGTGGAATTTCGACAGTTCTTGCTTTTACTGTTATCCTATACATCCAAGATCATTTGGGTTGGAAAGTTGGATTCGGAGTCCCTGCTATACTCATGGTTTTCTCTGTTCTTATGTTCCTACTTGGTTCATCTCTTTACATTAAAGTTAAACCTAGCGAGAGCGTGTTCACTGGATTTGTGCAAGTTATAGTGGTGGCTTTTAAAAACAGAAATGTCAGTCTCCCTCCTAGTAACTCTGATGGCTGTTACCATCAATGCCATGAAAAAGCACAACTCCGTGCACCAACAAAGAACTTAAGGTATGGTCATATTGTCATCGTTGTTGAATTAATCCATTCGGATGAAGATTATTTGAATTATTTTCATCAAGTTTTGTTAGAAGGAACTTCTTCCCACATATAAATAATGCAATTATTCTTGAGACATACTGTTAATGGAAATTGATAGATTAGTTTAGAACGTATGAAAATAACAGTCTGCTTTTTTTTTTAGCTTTGTCCATAACATGAATCACTTCTCAGTTTCTTTTACCACTAGTTTCCTCATCCAATCGAGAAGATTTCTAGCATTGGTTCATTCTTAAAACCAACAATTCTATGGACGAGATATCGGTTCATTTAATGAATACTGTTGGTTCCGTGTGCAGGTTTCTAAACAAAGCTTGTGTAATTACAGACTGTGAGGGAGATTTAAATTCAGACGGACCAGCTTCAAATCCATGGAGACTCTGCAGTGTTGAGAAAGTAGAGTCACTCAAGGCTTTTCTTAGAGTCATCCCAACGTGGTCCGCTGGCATTATGCTCTCAGTGAGCATTAGTCAAAACTCATTTCCTACACTTCAAGCAAATACCATGGATAGACACATCATATCAAAATTTGAGATTCCGGCAGGGTCCTTCACCGTGGTCATGATTGTGACTCTAACAGTATGGATTGCCTTCTACGACCGTGTGATGGTGCCCTTATTAGCGAAATACACTGGGCAGCCAGGTGGGCTTACCCCCAAAATTCGAATGGGGATTGGCTTACTACTCTCCTGCGTAGCAATGGGATTGTCAGGAATAACGGAAAGCATAAGACGGGGAAAAGCAATCGAAGAAGGGTTAGAAGATGATCCGGATGCCACTGTGGACATGTCTGCAATGTGGTTAGTGCCACAGTTTGCCCTGCTTGGACTGGCTGAGGCTTTTAATGCAATTGGGCAGATAGAATTCTTTTACTCTCAATTTCCTAAAAGCATGTCAAGCATTGCAGTGGCTCTTTTCACACTCGGGATGGCTGTGTCTAACGTGGTGTCGACTCTTCTGGTGAATATTGTAGACAGTGTCACTACCAAAGGAGGTAAAGTAAGCTGGTTATCCAAAAATCTTAACAAGGGTCATTTAGATTACTATTACTGGTTACTTACTTTCTTTGGTTTAGTTAACTTTGTTTATTTTCTGGTTTGTTGTCGCTCCTGTGGTCCTGAGGACGATGAGGTAGTTGAAGAAGAAATATTTGATTATAGGGATTTACCTTCAGCTTGAGAAGTATGTTTCTAACGAATGGTTAAGATGGTTATGTAATCTATTTTCTTGTCACTTTCTTATGTAATCTTAGAAATTGAAACCGTTCGTTTGGTTGTCTAGAAAAATAGAAAATGTGTTCTCTCTGTATTTCCTCTGTACCTCAGAATTCGTAGTCTAGGTTCTTAATTTGGTGAGGGTTAAAACTCTGTAGTTTAGAAGAACATTGCTGTACCAACAGATTTGTAATCATATTTAAAACAATATCTAAATCCTTGATTGATTTCTGCAGCACATAGTGCACTAAGTTCATCAATCACCCAATAATTAAAATTTCCGTTGTTCCCGTGTAACCGAATAGTATGCAACTGAGGAAAACCTGAACATAAACAAGCTTAGAACTTCTAGGTTCGTTATATACATGTAAGTTTTTTTCCCAGGAAGGCTTGGAATCTGTAGTTGTGCAACAAGGGAATGCCATAGCACTGGGATATATTTCTTGTATCCAATTATGATTATTTTTTAAGAAGCTATTTTCTGATATAAATTTTCACCGAACAAGTTGCTACTCTTGCCTTGCACCTTTCAAATAAACGTAACTTTCTAAGAATAGCACAAAAGTTATAAAGGCCGTCGTGGTTGGAATCATATCGTCCGTGCTTAACCAACTATGACTCTTTTCGAAACTAGTTCTTTTGATATAAATCTTCACTAAACAAGTTGCTACCGTTGTCTCATTTTCTGATTTTTTTGTACACCTTTTACATAAATGTCAATATTTTTATATCTATAACTTGGAATTTTAAAGCCGGATGCAATTGGAATTATATCGTCTGTACCTATCCAACCGTGACTATTTTCAAAGTAGGTTCTTCTTGTATAAATCACCATTGAAAAAATTTCTACTGCTACCTCATCTTCTGATTTTTTTTTTTTCGTGCGCCTTTCATATAAGCGTCAATAACCTTCTAACGGTGACACAAAAGTTAAAACGCCGGCGCGGTTGGAATTGTAATGTTCACACCTATCCAACTTTGACTATTTTTTAAGCAGGTTCTATTGATATAAATCATCACTGTATGAGTTGCTACTGCTGCCTCATCTTTTAATGGTTTTTTCGTGTACCATTCATAATAACTTTCTAATCATAACATGAAAGTTATAAAGGATGGGGTGGTATGAATAGTATCGTCCGTGCCTATCTAACTGTGACTATTTTCGAAGCAGTTTCTTCGAATATATATCGTTACTAACCGAGTACTTAATGCTACATCATCTTTAGATATTTTTTGGTGCACCTTTCATATAAACGTCAATACTTTCTAACTGTAACTTGAAAATTTTAAAGGCCGGTGTGGTTAGATTCATATCATCACTGCCTATCCAATTGTGACCATTTTCAAAGCAAGTTCTTCTGATATAAAATGTTACTGAACAAGTTGCTACTGATGCCTCCTCTTCTGAGACTTTTTTGTGCACCTTTTATATAAATGTCAATAACTTTCTAACCGTGCGTAACTCAGAATTTTTAAAGGTCGGTGTGGTTGTAATCGTATTGTTCGTGCTTATTCAACTATGACTATTTTTGAAGCGCTTCTTCTCATATAAATTTTCATTGAACAAATTGCTACCACGGCCACATCTTCTGATTTTTTTTTTTGCCCCTTTCGTTAATAACTTTCTAACTGTAGCACAGAAGTTATAAATTCCAGAACAGCTTAAACCATATCGTCCATGTCTATCCAACTGTAATTTATGTATTGAATTAATAAATGTACAATACATAGGGATCCTATTTATACGCGAGGGTTAGGAATTGGTAAGTGCTACACAAGTAAGCAATAAAAGGCAACTGGGTTGGTGAGTGTTATAAAAGGGAGTAGTGTAGTGTGCAAGAAACCCTATGTGGTAAGTAAAGATATAATAGTGCATGTATAGTCTAACAGTTTGAAAAAAAGACTTTCAACCTTAGCCATGGGCTTGGAAATTTTAAAAAATCATCTGAAGTTTTGTCATTTTTCTTTACTAGTTACATTCAAGTAATTGAGAATAGTAATTGAATGAAGTCAAGGGAAACTATAAGAAAGCTCAATGAAAAGTATTCAAAGTTTACTCTCGACTTAACTTACTGCTTATAATGTGGGGTTGGTGTCAGCAATCAGGGGTTTACTTAGTAGTTACAAGTCCAAAAGGTGAGTGGTTGCGAGAGTTCCCACGTTATAAAATAAACTGTAATTGTGCTGAACCACCACCGCCCAAGTCGGAGAGGGATCCTAAATCACAACTGCAGTGTTTTTCCACATATAGCCGGCTGCATGCATCGTATTTCTGTGTCTCAGTCAAACGTGTAGTTGAGTTTAGGCATTTTATCTAATTTGAAGTCCTGAGCACTAGTAAACCGAGTCAATTGTTTTTCTTTACATGGTTAGTGCTCAGAGTGAACGTTAAACAGATGTGATAAGAGCTTTGGTACATTAACATTGATTTCTATGGTTATTCCAAGGCCATGGAGTAAAAGAGGACATCGCTTTAACTTATCATTGAGTTGGTCATAAAACCTAATGTTGGTCCTAGCTAGCAATTCCGCGGGCGGGCGTTGTGTTTTCTGGTGGAGTAGACAAAAGCCAACAAGATGGAAGCATTGATGAGTTCCACCATAATTGATGGACCTCGCTATGACCCTATTTCTTTTCGACTCCTCGCTGAATTAACAAGAATAACAATACTAACTCTCCAAAAGATTTAAAGTTGTATTGACAAAACAACGCAAACGCAGGCTTCTGTTGTCACAAATTATAAAATAAACTCTACCACTTGGACAGACTTATGCCGGTGGTGACGTTCAATGAAGGTCACAAATACATCGCTCTTCGATCATCATTTTCTCTTGTTTTATTTTCCGATGAGTTGGACAAAATCATTTTAGGAGTTCAATTTCAACGACCACCTCTTTTTTTTTTTTTTTGGGTCAATTCCTTTCTTGGAGATGCCTCTAAATTTATCCATTTACTTGCTTTTCAAATTTCACCCACTCAATTTCATTATACAATATTGCTTTTCCATCTGTTTGATCCTGCTATGAGATAGTAATTAATTACTGGTGTCAGTTGAATAGTCGCATTTGGTTTGTTGGGTGCAATAACGTACTAGACTACAAAGCTGGATATGTAATTGTTGTGATGTGACTGCAATATCTTTAAGCATTATGATACTACAAATTTGTAATTGTTGTGATGTGACTGCAATATCTTCAAGCATGATGTGAGGTTCAAAATGGATTATAGAAAGGTCTGTTTGTGAGTGGAGTTAGAAAGAGACTTTCTCTTCTTAATTATTTTACTTTGATAAATAAGACTAACACGTAATGTAATTTCATTATAACACATTGCTTTTAGATCTTAAGTTAATAATTGTCGAGTAAATAAGATTCCTGCTATTGTGAAACTTAGATAACAAGGAGATAGACTTTTTATATATAAATATATATTTTTCACATAAGACTTCCATACAATAATGTAATAATTTTATTGTTGCGCCAAAGTCCGCATTCTCATTATCATATAATAAATTTTACTGCAAATTGAAAATATTTGCAACAGAAACACAAGAGTTACATAGTTTGGATTTTGCTTACTCTTCTTCTTAATTAGCGCTGAGAAACATTGGAATATCATTTTTAGGATATTGTCACTCTTCCTTTTTTATTAGCATTCCAAGTGATGCTTATTACTTGATGAACATAGTAGGAGCAGAAAGAAGAAAAAAGAAAGCTACACAGAAGCATTCAAATCTAAGTTTTCTGCAGACAAGTTCTTGATGAATTCTACCACAACTTTTACAGAATTGTTCGCAGCAAGAGACGCGAAAGTAGCAGCCTCATTCGACTGATCTGAACCACCGCCGGCCAAATCAGACAGTGCCCTGAAAGTGATGAAAGGCACCCTTTGCTGCAGACATATGAGTGCCACTGCCGCGCTTTCCATGTCCACCGGGCTCACGTTGAACTTGTCATAGATGAAGCCCCTATAAGCTGCATTGTCAAGGTATATGCTTGCGCTTGTTCCACTTTGGACAGTGGTCACCTTTGGTGTCTCAGACAAGCATGTGGTTGAGTTTATGCAGCCCTCTAGTTCCAAGCCCTAACACATTAAAGTTTGCACTAGACCAAGTCAATTATTAGGTTACAAATGTATCAAGTTAGGGTAATTTTAACCCCAAGGGTTATCCTAGAAGAAAAGACTTGGGTCCTGGTTCCTCATGAACCTTCAGGTCTTAAGATCGATTTATTTTAGGTGCAAACAATTCCTTAGGGATCACGTTCGCGGTTACAATCTGAGCTTTACCCGATCTATGCTTGCATGCGTCCCGTGAATTAGTCGAAGCAAAACCTCATACACCCAGTAATGAAAAAAAAAAGAAAAGGGAAACCCCTCTCTTTTCGAACCCTCTCTGTGTGTACATTTGGGGTTCGGACTCTGTTACCAAGTGTGTACGCGTTTAATTGAACTTTAGAAGAAAGAAAAAGAAAAAAAAAAAAAGAAAAAAAGAGGCAAACTCCTCTCTTTTCGAACCCTCTCTGTGTGCAGATCTGGAGTTTGGACTCTGTTAGCGGGTGTGTACCTGTTTGATTGAACTTTAGAAGAAAAAAAAAATTGGGGAATTTAATTTAAAGGAACTTTACCTCTAGGGTTTTGGAAATTTCAAAATATGCTTGCGCTTGTTCCTCTTTGGACAGTGGTCAGCTTTGGTGTCTCAGACAAGCATGTGGTTCTCTAGTTCCAAGCCCTGACACATTAAAGTTTGCACTAGACCAAGTCAACTATTAGGTTACAAATGTATCAAGTTAGGGTAATTTTAACCCCAAGGGTTATCCTAGTAGGAAAAGACTTAGGCCTGGTCCCTCATGTCTTAAGATCGATTTATCCTAAGTGCAAACAATTCCTTAGGAATCACGTCTGCAGTTACAGTCCGAGCTTTATCCGATCTGTGTGGGAATGCCTTGCATGCGTCCCGTGAATTAGTCTAAGCAAAGCCCCAAACACCCAGTAATAAAAGAAAAAAGGGAAACCCCTCTCTTTTCAAACCCTCTCTGTGTGCAGATTTGG